CACCGCCATGACACGAATCATTCTTCAAGAATGGGAGAAGTGCCACGAGGCTCACGGAACCAAGGCTTTTGGGATCATAGCAGCCGAAAACACATCAGCCAACCGGCTTGAGATTGTCCGACGATGGTGCGAGAACCAAGCTCCTAAGTTTCGTGACCAAGCGAAGATGAATGTGATGTCACAAACACCAGAGGGTAAGGTGCAAGCAGCACAGTTGCGCGAGATGTCTCGGACTAGGGACCGACGAAGGCGAGCAAAAACCAAAGTAAGTTTATTCCAATTCCAAGTTGTTTTTCCTCTTTGTGTAGATGTGACTGTTGTTGATTGTTATCTGTGCATTCAAAAAAGATCCACAACGGGCGCCAGGAACTAGCCCAACATATATTCGGTGTAAATTCTCCCGAATATCTCCTCTTGTCTCATTCAGAGGTACACTCTGAAGAACAAGTCACGATGACTAACGGCTCAGGCACCCGGACCAAAACGAGACTCGAGTGGCGTAGCGGAGCTTTGGATACATTTGTGAACCTTGTTGATAAAGCTATTCCTGGTCAAGAAATCATCCCAAGGAAAAAGGCACGAGCACAGGCGATTGTGGACCGCGGTTCATACTCATCGGAAAGCGATCTTGATGCATTTCCTCCTCAAGGGCTTCAGGAATCTCTGGTCTCGAATGCATGGCTCGACAAGATGTCTGGTGTTGCTATTTCAAATTTACGCCTTGTTAAGGCTGAGGTAGTTGACATACGTAAATCAATTCAAGTTTTGACTGATTTAATGTTGCCAAGGGGGGCTGCTGGGTTGGGTGAAGGATCAAGTAGTAGTTCTGGATCAAGTTCAACGCAGGTACCAGGTGAAGGATCAAGTAGTAGTTCTGGACCAATGATGACTCAATGATAGCGCTGGTAGCTTCTGTGTTTTATCTTTTTTATTTCATTTCTGTAAATAGTTTTTTTTCTCATGTATCCTGTCAAAGTGCTAGTGTTTATCTGTCTCTTGTGATCTCATGTCTGCTGTTAAAAATTCTGGTGTTTGTTTGTTTTTGTGGAATCTTTCTCTCTTAACCAAACGGCTGTGGTTGGGTGCTATCTCTGCGCATTGGTTTACGCTTGTTAACACCAACTCAAACTTTGCTCAAAAAGATCTTGCGATCGGGCAACAAGTTTTATGAGATATCACCCCTTGATGGTTGAATACTGTGCGTGATGATCAGCTGGTTTGTGGTCAAAAATATACAGAAGGGTTGTTGAACTCCTGTTTTACAGTCTGATAACAAAGTTCTACCTTTGAACTCACTATCATATGTGTATTTTGCCCGCTCCCCGCTTCTTCAAAAACCCTTGATGACCTTTACTTCCGATCGCCTTTGATTTTATTCCAGTGTTACTCATGCCATCAAACGTGTTTGACTATCAACTACAACAACTACCTATGCACAACCTGACCACAGCAATTCAGAGCATTCAAAAACCATACCGATTCGACATCCTTGACACCAATTACCAACTGATTGTAAAGGTAAGTGATCATATTCAGAAGTGAAAAGGATCACTCAAAGTCAAAAGCTCATACATTGTTTGTTGTCCGGATGTGTAGGTTACTCGTCAATAACCACCTATTACAAATCAAATCATGTCAAGAATTGATCGTAATCACTTCTGTTGCACCTGCGTTGCTCTAGGGTGCAACACCGAGAGCTTTGAATATGGAGGGATTACTTACGTCGGCAAATTATTTAATCGTTCAAACTATCCTAAACACCTCGAGAAATCACTTTCTCAACAACAAAATCAACCAGAACCGTCTCTCGCAAGTGGAAGTAGGGCACCTGACGTACAACAACCTTTCTCTCAGGCTGACCAGCAAACTCAATCCCGAAAACGTAAGCATTCGGATTCACCGGCACCTCAAGATCACAATAAGACTAGCGATATCAACCTTCGGCCTCAGAAGCATCCACGGACCACGAGTGAAAGTACAATGGTTCTGACCAGTAATGAAATTCAGATTCAGCCTTCAACACTTGTTACCTTCTTCACCAAAACATTCAAAGTACCTCTTACTTTTTTACAACATCGTTATTGCCTTCAATCAATGTTTCATGTACTGCACGATCATTTCAACGAGCACAAGAGCGTACGAGGTTCTCGAACTTCCCTGAAGATGGAGAAATCCAAGGTCCAAAATGCCCTAGCCGGTCATCCTCTTGCATCAAAGATTTTAAACGAGATTCCCTTGACCCTCGACAAACTCGTCAAGACTTTCCGGTTAGACACCAACATAGTCACTAATGTCTGCTGTTATGTATGCTGCAAGCTTCACGGAATTCTTGACCAATCTAACGCTCCTTTTATCACTCAATGCAATCATCTTCGTTTTCCAAAGAAAACCTCAGCAAGTACTCGAATAGTTTGTGAATTCCCACTTTATGTACCTAGTTCTTCAACAATCAACAAATTAAGACCCAAGTCGATCTTTTACCACCAACGCTTCATTGAATGGATTGCAAAGATGTTATCATTCCCTAAGTTTGAAAGCGCCCTCGACACACCTCTGACTTCCCCACGTCCTCCCAATGGTATAATGAAAGATATTTGGGATGGGAAGATTTGGAAGACTTTTAAAGATGGCGATGGAAAAATTTTTACCCGATCTTCTGGAAATCTTGTTTTCGGCTTCTATGCCGACTGGTTCAACCCTTGGGGCAAAAAAGCGGCTCGATCGTATTCTTCTGGGCTCATGGTACTCATCTGTTTCAACCTTCCACCCGAACAGCGATACAAATCTGAAAATATATTCCTTTATGGAATTACCCCCGGACCTCGCGAAACTGATTCTGATCAAATTGAACACCTTATAAGACCTCTTCTACTCGAGTTTCTTGACCTCTGGAGAGGAATCTATTTCAGCAGCACATCACTTCACCCAAACGGCCGCCTGATTCGAGTTGCCATCTGGCCGTTAATTGCCGATGTGCCAGCCCAGAAGAAGATTTCGGGTTTCTCCGGTCATCGCTCCACTAACTTCTGCTCACGTTGTTATATAACCAACAAAGAAATTGAAGATGTAGATTTTAAATCATACAAGGAACGTCACCCCAATTCTCACAAGGCACAATCTGAGCAATGGCTGAAGGCCAATGACTCTTTGGACCGTCACAAACTCGTGAAAAAATATGGTGTCCGCTACACCATATTCTCAGAACTCCCATACTGGCAACCCATCAACTTTCAAACAGTCGACATCATGCATTGCCTGATTCTTGGTCTTTTGGAGTGTTTTTCGACTGCTCATCTCCAGCTTGCTTCGGCTGGGGCAAGTCTCAAGATTCTACAGGAAAAACTGATCCTAAAGGGTGTATACACCAACTTCACCCAACCAGACAATTCTGGGATACAGTTTTCGGACCCCATTCAAGTCCCTCAACCTTCTGCTGGCATTTCCGAAATGGACCTCGATCAACCTGAACCACCTGATGAACTGTCCGAGAAATCCAGTAATTGCACACACTATACTCGCTCTGCTAAGACAAAGTCGGTCACAGAATGTTCCATCGAAGTTAGTCAAGATTCGGTTTCTTCAAAATCCTCCAATGCCACTGTTCATGCCCCTGAAGGTCCAGTTCTAACTCCACATGAGCTTGAGCTTATCCACCTATGCATCCGAGAAACCACCATTCCGACTTGGCTCACTCGAGTTCCTCATCACATAGGAATGGCGAGTGCTGGATCTCCAAAAGCAGCGGAGTGGCACATCTTGTATTCTGTATACATGGTATTATCACTGATACCGTATCATCAAAACTCTGATCGTGAATCATCATCTTGGAAGATCTATCAGGGTATCAGTTTAGCCACGCAAGTAGTCAACATAGCGGTCTCACGAGTTTTGAGACCCGAAGACCTCAAGAACCTCGATCTCCTTCTTCTTCAGTACCGACAACATCTACAATCTGCGTGGCCAAATATAAAGTCAAGGCCCAATATTCACTACGCACAGCATCTCGCCAAGCAATGCGAACTATTCGGTCCTCCATCTTACACCGCAGCTTGGGCCGGGGAGCGGATGATAGGTACTCTGGTTTTGGCACCTAAAAACTCGCGTAAAGGTATGTGTAAAATTTCATTTTGCCTTGACTGTGCCCATTTCTCAATGACCAATACATACATTTCTCCTTTCTGAACTGAACAGGTGTTGTGGGAAAAACTTTAATCAATTCTCACACTCAGCATGCGTTATTTAAGCATCTCCTTATGAATACTTCACAAGAATATCAAGCTTCAATCGGTGTTGAAGCACTCTCTCATTCAACCTCAACTAAATGGAAACCGGTTTCTCCTTCTGATGAAGTCTTGACAGAACTTCAAGTGGCAGTAGCAGGTCGGACAGACTTCACAATCTCTGAAACTTCGAAATTTGAGTCAACCGTTCAGTGGGAACATGGAGGAAAGAACTTTACTCGATTTTCAAAACATAAGGGTAACAGTTATGTACAGTTTGAAACTGGAGGACGAGTAAACTTTGGCACTATTGATGAAATATTCCGTGTAGTTGGTAATAAGTCCCCCTTTTTTTTGGTTAAACCTTTCACCGTTCTTCAAGGACTCGATGAATCACGGAACCCTTTCCGCTCCCTGCCCTATTTGAAAGCTACAGTTATGTACCATTCATATCAAAAAGTCCAATGTGTGCTAGTTGATAAGATGTTTGGACATGTTGCTGTACGTGTGAATCCCCCAAATACGTTCAACATATCCCACGCAACAGTATCAATAGTTGCACTCAGAAGCATGGTACGTTTCTTTTGAAATATTTACCCTTGGATGATCATACAATACTAATGGTGATGTACCTCCTTGAATCAGGGTATTTGCGACACTGCATTTAGAACTTGTGATGATTTGCTTGAAAACAGTGACTGATATATGGAACTATTGAAATCATCTTATTATTGAATACAGTTTCAAAAGTATCTTAAAACAAGTTTACTTTAGGAAAAAGGATTATTAATCAATTTCTTGTGACTCCAAAGACTGTTATACATGCTGGTAAGTCTTGTACTTTATTCAAAATAGTTGTTTCCTCTTGTGATTGGAACCATTTCCATTCAAGTCTTTATGTATCAAGTGGTAAATTTGAGGAGGACCTGATCAAGCATGATAGTCTGATCACATCGAAGGAAATTGAAATAAAAAATTCTATGGCTCCACTGATTTGGTGGACAGTTGCAAATAGTTTGCATACAACTCTAGCAGACCGTCAAGTTAATGAAACATGAATATAATTTATATCAACAACTTCAAACTACCCCAAAGTACACAATTAAAAAAGCGGAATAAGACAAAGACATTTGTAAAGATGAAACATGTATCAAGATCTACCAGTAATACTGTTCATAATGGATATCTTAGAGATTGGTTTATCCTTAAAGATTGCGAATTTCTTCACAAATCTGATCCAAATCTACAACAGGCTTTATATCTAAGGATTTCTTATGTTCGTATGTGAGACCAGAGAGAAAGACTGCATTATAACAGTTCTCGGGAAGACCACAACATACAGCAGCCTTTGGATTGAAAGAGGTCCCTGGGATACGACATTGATCGAAACGAGTGATTGCAAGGGCTGGAGTGTCGACAGTAGCTTTGTAGTTGAATGAAAGCCCATCTATTTGACGAATAAGATTTTCGTACTGTTGACTTCGCCACTTCAATCCCACTCTCTTGAATTTCACCTGATCTGGATACCACTCAGTGTCTGAGCAGCAGTCGGCATCGGGCATAATAAGCATGGGATCAACTTTCAGATGGCGTTTGATCGTCTCTTGGCGATAATTGAATAGCTGAATCATTGGATAATCAAATTCAGCCGAGTCTCCTAGAACAATAGCATGCTGTAAGCAGAGATCAACTGACCGTTCTCCTCTTTCGCGCACGCTCACGGAGCAAAAGCTTTTGGGTGTCCCCGCGATTCAGTCGGATATCTTCAGCTCGTCCACGTAACCAGCGAAGTACAAGGGAAATGCAATTCATCTCAGTATTGTGAGATGAATTAATCCCATAGTTCTTGAAGGCTCCGTGCTCCCTTGCATAGCGCCAGTGCTTGACCACAAAAACAGCCATTGTACGATTCCAATGATGACTATCCGGAAGATCCCATGCAAATGTGAATCGATGAATGTTATGATTTTGAAGGTCGGCCATAAACCTGTTCTTGTATTCTATCATCTCTTTATCGTTTAAAGTGGCTGAAGCAGAAGTGGGATTCAGTGCAAATACTAGTTGATCCATCATGATCTCGGGTTGAGTAAGGTTTGCTAGCTGCTGGAGTTCCTCTGGACTCGGCGTCATTGGATAAGCTTTATTGGATTGATCAACACCAAGTAACATCCGAGTAAAGGCAGCCAAAGAGCGACTGATCGCAGCGTTTTGTGATGGTAGAGTGCTCGCAACAGACGCGTTCAAAGACTTGATTGAAGTCGGTGGAGATCCACGTTTCCAGATGTGATTGGTGCGTCGCCGGTTTTGTGCAGGTGGCATGTTGTAGTTTGTCGAAGATTGAACAAGAGGTTGGAATGATACGTCGTTCTTGTTTGAATGAAGTGCACTTGATAATTCAAGACTAGGACTGTACGCTCTAGTCGGGCTATACACTCCAGGCCAACAAGGACAAGGGAAAGATCTTGAAAGGATGAGCAAACTGAAATATGTTTGGATAAAGGGGAATGATACACGGAGATAAAGCTGGTCAAAATTGAGCGTGATCATTAGACTAAAGCAATGTTTGGGTTGCTCTCGTCGTCGAGAGTGCCTCAGGTGGACAGGGTGAAAGAGGCAAAAAACCTTGTAAAAAGTGTTTGTCTTGTTGATCATCAAGCAACAAAAGATTCAAAAGTGCATGATTGGTGATGGTACAGACAAACACCACCAATCATGTTGGAATCATCTGAATCAAACTGAACAGCATCCTCAACTTATTTTAGAAGAATCAAGCTTTTGAAGCTTGTTATTCAAGCACTGGTAAAGACTTCCTAAAGTCTTTATTGAGGCCTAAGATCCTGTGTTGAACCTCCAAACTGTGATGAAATGAATATACAAAAGAAGTCATGGAAGGGAGCAATGTACAGGTTTGATGAGTCTTCCGGATGGATAAGTTTGCTTTCAAGGGCTTGATGAAAAGCTCTTGAAATCAAGATTATCTATTGCAAACAGATTCACTCCAAAAGAAATCCAAACAAATCTTTGTATGATACCTTACTTTAATAACTGTGTGGGTGCTATTGATGACACCCACATACCTTGCATAATCCCAGAGGACCAAAAAGCTACACATTGCAATTGAAAAGGGAATCTGATTCAAAATGTATCAGCCAGATGCTTGTTTGATATTTCGTGTACCTTTGTGTATATGGGCTTGGAAGGCTTATATGCTGATGCTCAGGTGCTAAACTGAGCACTCAAAGAAAAACGGTCTGACTTTTTTACCTTTTGATCATCTTGGCTGATCTGTATCATCCACCTTTCAGTCAATCTTTATTTTGCCAATGCTAGCAATGCAAATGTTCCAGGGTTCATTGTCCCTTATTGATTGGTTTGATACCATTTGAAAGAGTGGTACCATCCAGGTCTTACACCACAAAACCCAAAGGATTTGTACAACCACTGGAATTCAGCCCTTTGAATTGTCATCAAGTGGATCTTTGGCATCATGAAGATGTGCTTTCCAATCTTGGTGGTCATGCCATCCTTTCCATACAACACTCAAGATAAGATTGTATTAGCTTTCCTTAACAATATGATAGACATTGAATCTGGGGAAGACAATTATTATGGGGGATACCCTTGGAAATAAATATCAGAAGCAATGTTTGCAGGTGATAATGACAACCCAGACTGGATTCAACCCACCCTTCAGAAACAATCTAAAACAAATTGTATGAGGGAGGGTATTGCAGAGGCAATATTTGAAGATTAAAATCATGTGCCTGGTGCTTGTAGTCCCCAGGTTATCCTAGATGTTTGTTTGATTGTTTTCATATCTCAGATATCATTGTTTTTGTTTTATTTTGGTCTTAATTCACAAACTGTATTTTTACTGTCTAAATCTTAAATCACATGTTTGATTATTATTTTTGTCATATATTTGTTGAAACTTCTTTGATCTGTTTATGATCACTTTCTTCTGTTCCCAATTGGTACCAGAACCTCCTCATCTTCCTGATCATGTCAAGATCTTCTGATACCAACTCTGATGTGTCATCAAAATCCTTTTGAACCACGATTAACCTCTTGAAAGTACTCATCCAGGCTCAGCACAGGATCCATATTGTCAATAAAATTCCCTAAGAAACCCTGTAGGACTTCAAGACTGTCAACCTAGAGAGTAACTAAGCTTACTCCTGAGGAGGACTATAGGTTCATTACCAATCCAATCAGTATGTTTTCATTCAACTCTGACTCATCAAAAGATCTAATCTTTTAGACTCAGGCTGACAAAGACTAGGTGGTCACGAGTAAAATCAGAAGATTCTTGAGGGTAGCAATGTGTGATTTTGTGAACTCTGGTGGATGGAGAAGCTTTGAAAACACTTGAAGGCAAGATTCTCTGCCCTTGGAAATGGAGTGTTACCATCAAAGAAGAAGCTATGATTTTCCAGTTCATTGTTGTCAAGTCTGGTACACCAAGCACTTTTGGTGATCCAGTCATCCTATCATTAGGAATGTACTTTAATGTTGTCCAGAAGGCTGTAGGATCTCTGGTAGAATCAATTTATATTGTTCAGTCTACTGCTGGAGGGAAGATATGTCTAAAAGAAATCAGAATTTGTTGTATGTTGATGGTTTGATATGATAGGTTAGATGTGAAGAAGAAATGATCATATAAGAAAAACTGGTTCATTTGATTGTGGTTGATTTGATTGGTACTGAATCTGACCCATGAACAGATTATCCTATCCTATGCTTCACTCCTTACCTAGTTTTACTTTGACCATTTTGACCATTGTGATCTTTAATGTTTTTTTGGTGTTCTAGTTTCTGTTGTATCTATGCAAATCACCAGTGGTTTTGATGTTATTTATAAAAAAAAACAAGTACCTCAGCTAACAGTATGAGAAAAGTGGATTTCTTCAAGGTGAGAAATGATTGCATTTAATGCACAAAATCAATAATGCAGAATTAATGCATCTTTAATCATTTTTGTAGATTGAATGTAATCATTCCTTGAATCTCACCTTGGAGAAATCCACTTTCCTTGCAGTGTAAGTCTGATGGTGATCATAAGACAAGCTCCGTTCATAATAACAATAGACCCGAAAAGTATATCACACATCTCTCTACTTATCAGTTGATTCATCAGCCAAAAACAGCGTGTACGTTCAACTTGGCGGTGAACTGCTTTCAAACCGGTCTTTGGATCACGGTTTTTGAACCGGTCGACGTATATTCAAAGTGTTAATCGTTCAGTCATCCATTTTGGTTGATTCAGCCAAAGAAGAACACTTAAGTATACCGGTTGAGCAAGCGAGTTTAGGAGGTTTATGATTTGTGGTGGTATATCATTATGTGATTGTATATGTCAAATTGAAGGATTGGTTGAGTTTTTAGGATTTATGAAGATGTTGATCGGGATGTGATTGAGATTTGAAGATTGGATTTGATATCTTTAGAAGAAATCAAAGTGGGGAAAAGAAAAGTGAGTGGAGAGTGAAGAGAAAAGCTTGTTGAAGTCTGTCAATTTGTTGGATAGATTTCAGGGCGGTGAAGTTTGGTGATGAGGTTGTGAATTGATACCTTCACTTTGGGTTCATTTTGATTTCATTTTGATTCTCTTGATTTCTTTTTGAAGAGAAGTTGTTCTTGTCTGAATTCTTAGTTTTTGTAGAGAATTGGAATTGGAATTGGATGATGAGATGATGAATTGATTTAAGAAATTAAGTTTAAATTAAGTTAATGTTTAAATTTAATTAGTAATCCAAACAAACTAACTTCACATCCAATCGAATCAAATCCAATCGAATCGAATCCTAGTTTGTTTTAAACTTGAACTTCTCTCTTTCTCTTTGATTGAGGAACTAGTCTTTGTTCTTTTTCTTTTTGTTCTTCTTCTCAAGTTTGAATCATGTCAAATTCAAATTCATCATCGCTACTCAACATTTGGAGTAGAGGTGTAGCTACTGATCAATTAACTCCCAAAGCATCGGCTCAAGCTGGTACTTCAACTGAAATCGATCCATTCGATTCTCATTCTCATCCTCATCCTCATCCTCAATCACTCTCTCATTCTCGTAAATCATCTTTAGCTTCTCAAATCAATCATCTCAATCATCATCAACAAGAACAAGAAGAAGAACAAGTTGATCATCAGCAATCTTCTATCATTGATGATGGTTTCAAAACTCCCATGCCTAACAGTTCAAATCAATATTTCAATCATCAATCTCTCACTGATCATTCAACCAATCCGATCTCTCATTCAAAACACATTCATCAATCTACCTCTCAAGGTTTAGCTACCACTGCTCTCAAGGCTATCGCTCAACAAGTTCCTCTTCATCGATCTTCACCTTCTTCTACTCCTTCACCTTCTACTAGCGATTTTAGTTTTACTACTAATCCGATTCATAGAGCTAAGAACGCTTTACGTGGCACGATGGCTCAATCATCTGGTTCTTCAACTAAATTATCTAATTCTACAACTTTGGATTCGAAACCCAATCCATCTCAGCAAAACCAGTCTCAAAACAAGAGTGAAATTCAATTGAATACGAAAATGAAGGAGAGAACAGACAAAGAAGAAGAAGATCGAAAGGAATCTAATGAAGAAAGTAAGATTATGAAAGATAACAAGAATTTAATTGAAGCTATTACAAATATGAAGACCGGCTCAGACATCAAAACGTTACCTAACAGATCATTAACCACCTCACCTAGCAATCTCTCAGAACCTCAAACTCATTCGATAGCCAAACCACCCAAAGGTTTATTATCCGTCAAGATTGTTTCGGCTAGATCGTTGGTATGTTCTTCGAGTAGGTCTAGACCTTATGTGGTAGCTCAGTTTGATAATAATGAGTTTGTGAGTCGAGAACCGATTGAAGAAGATCAAGATGAGAGTAAAGGAAACGTTTCTTCGGTTCAGAATGGATCGGTAGGAAAAGGAGGTGGTGGTGGACATCAGTCGGGTAAATCGATTGATGTGATTCTTTATAATCAGTCTAGACCAAAGTCTGATTCGACTATTGGAACAGATGGGAAAGGACCTCCAGTGGGAGAGGAGATGGAGAGTGAGATTAGAGGCTTGGATCATGGGAATGGATCGGTGGGTTTGAGTGGTCAAAATCCGATTTGGAAACAAGAACTTGATTTGTTAGTGTTGTCATTTTTCATCAAGGTTTGAATGATTTGAACTTGATTGCTTATTCTTCGGTTTGGGTTTTTTTCTTCGTATGAAATTAGTGATGTGGCAGAACATGAACATTTGAATCTAAGTCATCGTACTTTACATGTTTCGGTTTATGATCGATCGATTGGTGATACGATTAATGGAAATGGAAATGATGAGATGAATTCTAGCACACCTGGAATTGAAGGAGTTGAATTGTTTTTAGGTGAAACTGAGATTGAAATTAATTTTAATCAGTTGGTCAAAAGTAATGGTTGGTTTGATCAATGGTATAAGTAAGTTATCAATTTTGGATGTTCGATTTGGTTTCCAATGATTGGTTTTGATTGGTTTGAACTTTTTGTTGTTGTTGTTGTGGTGGTGGTCCTAGATTAGGAACCCAAAATGCAGAATGTACAGGAGAGATCCGATTGAAATTAAAGTATAAAGAACATTCTAGTAAAAAATCATTGAGTGTAGAAGATTTTGAATTTTTAAAAATGATTGGAAAAGGCACGTTTGGGAGAGTGTTTCAGGTTCGAAAGAAAGATACTAAACGGATTTATGCGATGAAGGTCTTGAGTAAGAAAGAAGTGATTGATAAGAAAGAAGTGGAACATACGATTGGAGAACGGAATATACTTCAACAATCTAATGATTGTGCGTTTTTGTTGGGATTGAAATTTAGTTTTCAAAGTCCGGGTGAATTGTTTTTGGTCATGGATTATAAGAGTGGAGGAGTAAGTGATTTGATTGAGGATTTGATAGATCCTAATCAAGAAGATGAGGTTGATTTTTTGTTTGGATTGACTTTTTGAATAGGAATTATTTCATCATTTACAAAAAGAAGGAAGGTTCACAGAAGAAAGAGCAAGGTTTTATACAGCTGAAATCGTTTTAGCATTAGAACATTTACATTATTATAATATAGTGTATCGAGATTTAAAACCAGAAAATATCCTATTAGATGCAACAGGACATATTGTGTTGTGTGATTTTGGATTAAGTAAACCGAATCTAAGATCAGATCAATTAACGACGACGTTTTGTGGTACGACTGAATATCTTGCACCTGAAGTTTTATTAGATGATCATGGGTATTCGAAATTGGTGGATTTCTGGTCACTTGGAGTTTTACTGTTTGAGATGTGTTGTGGTTGGTCACCGTTTTATGCAGAGGATAATCAACAGATGTATAAGAACATTTGTTTTGGTAAGATTAAGTTTCCTAGAGGAGTGATTGGAGATGATGGAAAACAATTTGTGAAAGGAGTTGGTTATTTATTTCATAATTCTGTATCAAAAGAAAAAAAAATGAAACTAATTTTGGTTTTTGGACTTGGTTTTGATGTTTAGTTATTAAATCGAAATCCGAAACATAGGTTAGGATCACAAAACGATACGAAAGATTTGAAATCACATTCGTTTTTCAAATCTATAGATTGGGATTTATTATCGACTCGACAGATTGTACCGAGTTTTAAACCGTTTATTGAATCAGATGAATCGGTTTCGAATTTTGATGATCAGTTTACGAAATTAGATTTAAGGAACGAGATTCAAGATTTTGTTTGTTTTGATGAGAATGATCGATCGGATGATTGGTTAAAACAAACTTCAAGTTTTGTGAATTCGAAATTGATTCAAAGTAATCCTACGAATTATCTGACGGGAATAAATTCCAATGGGAATGGCAATTCGAATGGGATGATGAATGGAAGTAAAAGTAAACCGATTGAGATTTCGGAAACGAATAAAAGGAAAAGTCAGGATAGTTTACAAGATCATTTTAGAGGGTAAGTTGGTTTTTCATTTATAGATGGGATTTGATGAGGTTTCGTTTTTTGATTTTTGATTTTTGATTTGATTTTTTTTAGGTTTTCTTATCATGGTGAATCTGATATGATTATGAGTAGTGGAGCTGCTCATAGTAAATTTGGAATGTCTAGTATAAGAGATTAAGGGAAAGGATTTCCAATGGATTGAGAATGAATTGGGAGAAGGAAATGGTGGAGGAGGAAGTGGAGAGTGTTGAGTTATGAGTGAAGGAAGAGAGATTAAGTTATTTTTTTGTTTTGTTTTTTTGGATCGGATTTCTTTTGACTATAAATATATAATGTTCTTTTAGACTATCATTTTCATTTTTCATTTTTTTCATTTTTTTCATTTTTGAGTGATTGGCTCTTTCTTTTCTCTTTTTTTCTTTAGATTTTGTAGAAAAAAAAAACTTTTCACTTTTTTTGTTTTGTTTTGTTTTGGTATAGCACTTTTCATTTTGTTTTCCTTTTTTTTCTTTTGTTGTATATGTATATATATGATATATATGATGACTTTTTTCTTTTTTTGTTTCTTATTTCAATGAAAGTGGAGGTTTCTCTTTATTTTATTTATTTTTGAAAAAAAAACTTTTGAGGGCGAGGTCATTTCAATAAATGAATTTGAGAATCTTGTGATGATTTGTTTGTTTAGTTTTTTGGATTTTTTTTGAAGTTAGAGCACACAGTAACGGCCAGCATTAAAGAGGTTCCCAGATGGGAATATGGGTTGTAGGGATCAGACCACCATTGTAATATATGTAGTCACAAAGGCTGTCTGATTCCTATGACCCATATTCCCATCTGGGAACCTCTTTAATGCTGGCAGTGATATGTATGCACACATGTGAAATTCATTGATTACAGTTGTAAGCTCTGTTGGCAAAATTTGAGAGCCTTGAGGGTACTCAAAGTAAGTAAGTGGCACCACATACTTTTCAAATTTCATTTTTGACTAATGAGTTAAAGAAAAAGACAAATTGAATTATATTTGGCCAATTGTGTGATTGAAAATGTCAGTTTAGGTCATTTTGCTTTTGCCTGTCAAAAAGAAAATATGAAAGTTGTATGTGGCACCACATATGTAGTCCCACATACTTGCTTTGATTACCCTTATCACTATGAACACCATTCAACTTCCCCAAGTTGGAAGAGTAAAATGATTAATAGTACAGTTTGTCATAAAAGGATCCAATACTGTAGACCTGAGCCATAACACCCACACTACATATGTGGAGCAAGCTAAGTAAATAGTTTTCTATCATGTACATACAGGTCTGCTCAGTTTTTTGCCCATCAGAATAAGTAAATCACATGTTATACCACATGTTATACCACATGTAACTTTTTTGACTTTGAAAAAATTGTCCTAAGAATGTACTACATATAATTCTGTAGTTGCTCAGGCAATATTGTTAAAGCTGTTTCTTAGTACCAGAAAGGGTGTTACATGCAGTTGAGTTGATGAGATTCCACCAAAATGTTGAGTCAGTGCATGTAGTCAATCTTTTGAATGCTTTTGTCAATCTGAAAAAAGTCACAGCATGTATTACCTATGCATAACTTATGCTGATGAGCAGATAACTGAGCAGAACTGTATGTACATTATAACCAACTATTCACTGAGCCTGCTACACATATGTAGTGTGGGTGGTATGGCTCAGGTGTGAAGTGATAGATAATTTTACGACAAATCATACTCCCAATCATTTTTTCCTGCTCACTTGGGGAAGTTAAATAATGTTTGCAGTGTTATTATTGTGTGGTTGTTAGATTTAATGTAGAGGTCAAAAACTCAAAAAAGCTCTTTTGAGATTGATAACTCTATTGCCCATTGGTCTACACTGCACCATGACAATACACTTTGAAGGTGATATAGTCTTGAGTTTTTGACTTCAAAAGTTAAATCTGGTGATGACAAAACTTTTCAAAGATTTGCTAGTAGATCTTACAATGGCTGTAACTACAAGGCTGGATTTTGGAATAGGATAGTACTTTGAATATAAGTGATTTTTTATGGTTCTTTTTGGATCTTTAAGGTGTTTTGAATGGATTGAATATTGAAAAGCATGATTAGATATATTAAAGATGATACTTATTCTTGAGGAATTGTTTAGATGATGAGAAGTCTTATTGATTGTATATCAATCTGCCCCTATATCAAGGGGCAGATAAAACCATCTCTTGGTTATTTAATTTACCAACCACTCAACCAAAATGGTCAATGAAAGATCAAAAAGAGTGTTGTTGACCTTTTGATGACCGGTTGAGTGTTTGGTAACCATCACTTGAAAGTGAATATCAAATGAAACTTGATCATTCAATGGTTCTTGTGAACAATTGAACCATCTTCAATTCCATCCATCCTGGTCATTGACCATTTATTTTCATCAAACTTGTAAACTCCATTGAGCTTTTTTAAAAACCATCCAGAGTGGTCATCAACCATCTGATTGAACTTTCAAACTGCATCAAACTTTTTAAGAAAACTCATTGTGGTCATCAACCACCTAAGGGTACATCTGTGTTTGTAACATTCACATCACACAATTTGATACAGAAGAGTAGACCTAAGACGGAGTGAGCAGCACTGCAAACATTATTCAACTTCCCCAAGTGGGCAGGAAAAAAGGATGGAAGTACGATTTGTCATAAAATGATTTATCACTCCTCACCTGAGCCATAACACCCACACTACATATGTGTAGGAGGCTCAGTGAATAGGTGGTCATCAAGTTCAGGTTGTGGGCAGCATCAGAAGATTCGAGAAATTGGGGGTGGGCACGCCTTTGCAAAAATCACACCAAATCACCAATATCAGAGTTGTTGACATCAGCAGTAGGACTTGTATACATTTTGGGAACTGCAAAGGCATCTCTTACTCACCTTTAGATGGCAAAAGTGTTGTGGTAGATAGCTCCAGGAACTTGAAAATTAGAAAAAATATCAACAAAAAACAACATCTCGGCCCTCAACCTTTTTTTTGAAAAAAACACGCCCGGCGCGAGAAAAAACAAAAAAACACGCCCTGGCGCGCCTTTTAAATTATCAGCGCGCCCACAACCTGACATCAAGTACATACACTTCTGCTCAGGTATCTGCTCATCAGGATAAGTTATTCATATGTAATACATGCTGTAACTTTTTTCAGATTGACAAAAGCATTCCAAAGATTGACTACATACAATGACTCAACATTTTGGTGTAATCTCATCAACTCAACTGCATGTAACACCCTTTCTGGTACTAAGAAATAGCTTCAACAATATTTCCTGAGCAGCTACAGAATTATATGTAGTGAATTTTTGGGACAATTTCTTCAAAGTCAAAAAAGTTACATGTGGTATAACATGTGATTTACTTATTCTGATGGGCAAAAAACTGAGCAGACCTGTATGTACTTGATAGACAACTATTTACTTAGCTTGCTCCACATATGTAGTGGTGGTTTTATGGCTCAGGTGTGCAGTATTGGATCCTTTTATGAGAAACTGTACCATTAATCATTTTCCTCTTCCAACTTGGGGAAGTTGAATGATGTTCACAGTGCAGATGGTTATATGTCAAAGGGAAAGGTTGATGGTTATAATGTATGATGAGAGGGGTGTATGGTGAAGGAAGTGATGGTGATCAAAGAGGAGGGTGATTGAAAAGGAAGAGATGGATATGGTAAAGAGAGAGGGTGTTATGAAAAAGGGAGAGGGGCAGAAAGGCTTTTTTGGTCTGATAGACAGCCTTTTGGCTGTATATCAGAATTGAAGAATACATTGTGATGAAGAGTCTATCATTTTGGGCCAATGAACCTCCCAACCACCCCAGCTTTTTGGAAAATTTGATATACATATATCGTGATGTACTGTATATTGGTTTGGTGTATTATTTCACAATATATGTATATTGATTCATACTGAACAGGCCCTTATATTTCTTTGTTTCATTTTCTTTGAATTGTTTCAATCATGAAGTACCCAGGCCTCCTTTTGCACATCTTTGACTCTGCAAACCATTCACCTGAGGCAACGAGGGACAAAGATAAAGGGCCTTTAGAATTAAAACCCAATCTGGAATTTGATGAGGAAACAACCAAAAAGATGCATGAGTACATGAGTGGTTGTAAGTGGATCTCTTCAGCTTGTTCCCAAATCCATTGACTGACCTCTGAATTGTCTTACATGATAGGCATTGACTCACAAATCAAGATTCCTGATTGGGCTTCTGCAACCGCAAACACAGATTTCCTTGCTCATATTCAACATACAACCATGCTTGCCCAGGAATACTGAAAAACACTCGCCCAACAATCCACGCTTGTTTTTCATGATCAGCCAGACAACCATGTTGGATACACTAATGAACAAGTGGCAGAAACTTGTGACAGCCATTGCCCTAGAGGGGCTAGGTACGTGCTTGGTAATCTTTTTTTCTGTCACAAGCGGACACTGAAATGGATTTCTTTGCTAAGTGGTGACCAACAAGGAATATACCAACCACACGGAATCATCATTATGGGTCAAATACAAGGCTGAAGAGGACAATGAATCAACATTGGGTGGCACTCCCCAAGTTGATATGCACCCCCACAAACTTTGCTAACTGGGCATTTCAAAGGTGTTACCCAGACCGGCCCCCACTGTGCCTGCGGCCTCTGATGATAGCATGGAGCCGCTATCTTCCCAAATGGCCGTGATGAAGACATCATTCCACTGAAACAACAAATCCAAACGTACTGCGCAGGCGCCCCCAATCCAGCCTACTGAGCAGTTCACAGAATCTGGTAACGGCAAGACAGTTGCACCTAGGGATCAAATTGTCATCCGCCTCAAGCGCCCCAGTCAAAACTTGGCTCTGATTCATTGACAACCCATGATTCTCCCTTCTGAACCAGCTCCTCAAGATGCAGAAGCCACCACGGGGTGCGCTTACTCTGCGCCAAGTGATTGGGTGCTACCTTGTTTCAAGCGCATTGTACCTGATTCACCTGATTCAGACACTGACTAACGTCAAGGTGCCTCTGTGCGCTTCAAACGTACCATACCCAAAGCTCCCAACTCACTGAATCACAATTCCCAAGATATCACTCCAGCCTCACCTAGTAAGTCAAGCCGTTTGGTTTTTGGTAAAGAGCTTGCGGTTGATGATAGTGTTTTGGCTATGCAAATTTTTGCCTCCTTCCCTTTGTTTATTCCCCAGTCATCATCCAAAGACCAGCTTTATAAGGCCTTGCAAAACCCATCAGCTTCATTTGAAGTCTTTTGCCAAGACCCTGAAGATCTTGCTCTCAAGGTGATTAGGTTGGATTTTTGGACGCTGGATGCTGAAAGTTGTCTCATTCCCAAAATCCAAAGGATATAAGGGCCCGTTCGGCTGTTTTTCCCAAAAGTTGTTACCCAAGAACAACTTTTCATTTTGCCCCATTTTCAAGGGGCAAAATGAAAAGCTGTTTTTCGGCTTTTGCACTTACCGAACCGTTGACCAAAAAGGTCAACAAAAGATCCTTTTGATCATTGTTGACCTTTTGAACACCGTTCGACTGTTCGGTAACGGTCATGTAAAAGGTGCTTTTGAATGAATCAAAACTTGAAATTGATCGTTCTTTTCAAACCTCATCCATTCATCCATCTACATTCATCAATCGAATCTTTTGTATCTGTTTGTTCAATGCCAGTTCCTCTCAATTCATAGACTCATTTGAATCTTTCTTATCATTCTGACACTTGATACTGGTTAACATTGCAATCGATTAACATCCATACAGTCAGTACAACATTTGTATCAGCTGATGAGTAATTTGAATAATAAGAAGAGACGAGAAAATCGACGGATAAAAAGACGACGAGAGAAAGGGGTGTTGAGTGGGTGAAGTTGGAGTTGATTGAAGTTTGAGAGGGTGAGGTCTGGTGAGGTTGATTGATTGAGTTGAGGGGCAAAAGTACTTTTGGTCTCAAAAGCAGCCTCAAGGCTGCTTTTGAAATTCGAAGAACTTTTGACCAAAAGTGCTTTTTGATTTTGATCAAACGAACTTACCGAACGCCGGTGTTTTTGACCAAAATCAGAAAGTGCTTTTCGGTTTTGGTGTAGCTTTTGGCCAAAAGCTACTTTTGGTTTTCAGCCGAACGGGCCCCAAGATTCTTTAATTGTTTCTGCAACACCTGCAAACGGGCCACTTGCTGCCAAGCCCAACCTGGAATACCACTGGCCCAGTCAGCCCTTCTTGCCTATGAGAGCCGCCTAGAAGAATTGGCTGTTGACGTCTCAAACGCTCATCCTACAGTCAGCTGGAAGGACCTTTTGAACAAAAGGATTGATATCAAGTGCTCATCCGTCATCTTCAAAAAGGAGACCACAAAAGACTGTATGCTAATGTATGAAGCATGTCAAAAAATGCTATGTGGGTGTTACTCTGCTAGCCTGACCGTGTATGACCCATGTGAGCAAATTATGTGGTCCAAAAGTTCTCGGTTTTCAAAGAAGGGAACAATGAGTCAGTAGGTAGCCCAAGAGAAAAGTAAGTCCAATTAGATTCCCAAAAATTTCACGTTATTTGTGATAATAGCTAATGCAACATTCCCAATGTTGAAACCCCTTGGACGCAAGAGCAGGCTTTCAACGGGCATTACATTGAATCAGAATCAGCAACTCAGTCCAGTGAAGAACCTCACAAGGAGGTCATTTGTCTAACATTCAGACACATGCGGAATCTGACAAAACATTGGCTTGAAATGGCAGGCAAGTACATATTGGCGGTGGTGGGCTTAATTGGATCCAAAGGTGGCCGTGTGGCACCTATTGAAGACCTGGCCAGTCACAACTTACCTTTTCTGGATTTCAAGGATGCATTTCTTTGCGCTGTTCACTATCAACGTCTCCAATCTGCAATCAAATCAAACGGGACCAGGAGTCAAAATGCCAAAATGAACTACATTTCCCAGCTTACAAAGCTAGTTGACTCAATATATGGTTGTATCAAAGCCCTTGCAGTAATCCAAGCACATAATATTCACCAAAAATGTAACCAGCAAATGTGTCTCCCCCAAAAAGACATAATAAATTGTTCCATAAACTATCATCCATGGTTGGTCTCCGGACGGAAGCATTGGCGCCTCTGGTGGTGTTACTTTCACTAGGTTTCAAAGGCCTGATGACTTATTGGTGCAACACTTCACGCACACCTAACACCGGTCTCATTCAGCTTTTCCTAGTCACTGCGCAAATGGACACTTACAAATATGTGGAAGAACCAGTCTGGAAATGGTCAAGTAATTTTGTATTTACTACAATTGGAAGGGCTCTAATTTCTCAAGGGGACAAATATGGACACTGTAAATTGGGTGCAAGTGACGTGCACAAGGCATGTTATTGCCCTTGCAATGTATTTGTGGGGTTGTGTTTCCCACTGCGCCACTGCATTTGCATTGCAACCCCATATGTTTTGGGTCCTGAACTGCTAAGATTACATATTACAATCTACAATGAAGAGTTTTACACAAATTTGTGCTCAAAAAAATTTGGGATGTCTTAAAACTTTTCCCAATTTCATAACCTTTTGTGTAAATTCTGGGTGGTAGCTCAAGCAATAATCATCAATTTATATCTCAAACTGGGATTTCTATAGCTTTGTTAATTAAGGGGCATATAGAAATGTGTGTAGTTTTATGGGTTCAGCATTGCATCACCTTGGAATGGAGATAGAGTGAAACAAGAAAGTAGCCAGCAAAAGCCTGCACACTCAAATTGTGGAGGTATATGTCCTTGCTTGCCAAGAGGCACTTGGGTAGTATGAGGACCAATAGGGAGTTGAGAAATAATGTCTTGACAACATATCATGGAACAGATTTCAGAGATTTGACCATCAATGAATTCTTAGTAAAAATTGACACCTTTCATAAAAGTGTAATGGTCATCAGCACTACCCTGGGCCTAAGCATCAATTTGGTCTCAAGTGTTCTGTGAGAGCATCAAAGCTATATATTACTAACTCCCTGGTGGTTTGAGTAGCCAATGAGTGCTACCTAATGTGGCCACTCAAAGCTGTCTGGTTGTACCTTTCTGATTGGTTGACCTCATAATCCCAAAGAACAATCTCCATGTGCACCCAAAGCTCCCAAACAATCCAACAGGTAGAGTTGTTTTTCTTCAAAAAGACAATGAAGCAAGATCTACAAAAGATCCGGTTTGTGTATGGTTGGAAATTGTAAAACCCTATATGTAAACCTCCAATCAGGTTACAAGTCTAAAATCCTTCACCTGTTTTTAGGCCTTGAAAGTGCCTGGTTTGCTTTTTTTTTTTTTTGAAAAATAAATAACAAACTGTATCATTCTGTTGGAGTGTTTGGCAACTTTGGATGCACATAGAATCTGTTTTTTGGAATTATGAGGTCAATCAATTGATCAATTGTGAGAAGAATAAACGGACGACTCTGGGTGGCCATATTATGCAGGACTCTGGGAATAGCTTTGATGGTCCCACTGAACACTTGAGACCAAATGGATGCTTAGGGCAGTGCTGATAAACACATTATTTGTGACTTTTCAGACTCAACCATGTGATGATATATTGGCCCCCTACCCAGTAGACCACGTCGCATCACGGGGGCTAGCTGAACAAGTTTAACTGGGCTCAAGAAAAGAATGATCGAAGGAGAAGCATTGCACAACTCCACTTCGAAGTGGGTTCAGAATTCAATTTTTTGTAGTACAATGAACAATTTATACACCTCACTGGTCAATGATTGAAAATAGCACTGGATGTGTTTGAGGATCGGATACTGGTGAACTAAAAAGGTATATCTGAGGATTGTCATCATTGTGTGCTTGGTTTTCCCACTTTGAAACACAGTAGGAGCGAAATCAACCAATAACAACCCGGCTGTGATTTCAACATCAGAGCGTGCATACGCCATCCAACTGCTAACAACTTTCACTGCACTAATAATTCATTGTATTTTGGGCACGAGTATTACCGGTTCCGTGTTGATGAGCTAAAAGACAGCTTAGGCGTTCACTAGCATTGGCGAGAATGATGAAACGGAGTATTAGAGAAGTCGCACAATGACACACTGGCTAGAGAGGTTGGGACTGAAAGGTAACGTACTGTAAGAGCTTGCTTCTATGTGATCTGGTAATTCCGTAATGGCTACTTCGAATCGTGATTGAATGGCATCCAGCACTGTCTGGTCGCCATCACTGGCAACAAATGTGATCGCCAAACCTTTGGTTCCGAATCGACCAGCACGTCTGTAAGATTGTTGGAAGAAGCGTTAGCGCTAGACAAATAAAGTTGGCCTTGGGAGGAAATCTGAATAAGCTTACCCGACTCGGTGGAGGTAGGAGTCGGCCTCTCCGGGAGTGTCATAGTTAACGACGATGTTGACCCGTTCAACATCAATTCCTCGACCGAAGATATCAGTTGCAACCTACAAGGTTGGCCATGTAATTAACACAATTGCCAAGTGTATAACTGGGTTGTGAATGACTAACCAAGATACGCTTTTCAAAAGCTTTGAACTGTTTGTATCTTGCAATTCGCTCCTCTTGACCTAGGCCGGAATGAATAGCGATAGAGGGAAAGTTGCAATCTCGCAATAATTGATCCAATTGAACCGCACGAGAAACCGACTTGACGAAGATACAAACCTAGATAAGGAATTATTGAGTGGATGCCATCTAAGTACATGTCAAGAGATCATCAGGACTGACTTGATTGAATTCAAGAGTGTCGAGAAGATCGTTGAGCTTTCGGTTCTTTGCAGCCTCTTCGATCTTGACGAAATGTTGCTGAAGACCGTGAAGGGTTAGTTTGGCCTCGTCATCAACGTAAATTTCGAGGGGCTGGAAAGGGTTGAAGATACATCAGCGACCACTTAGATCGATCAGAAAACGGAATGCGGACCAACATTCTGCATGAACTTTTTACAGATCGGTCGGATATCCTTGCTCAAAGTCGCACTGAACATCATCACCTGCTTAGAATGAGGTGTAGCCAAGAAGACCTGTTGCACATCGCGGCGCATATCTATTGCGGTTGAAGTCAAGAGTTGTCCAACCCGTGTAGGATGACCGAGGAAAGAATCGCAGCAATGGAGGAGCCGTGACAACGAAGAGTAGAAAAAACCCAAGCGACGTGTGTGCGATAAGGTAAGAAGAGGAAGGTGGTAAGCGAATGTTGGGAGTCAAAGTGTGAGTTGACTGATGATGCGACTTGGATCTATGAGGAAGCTCAAGCGTTGTGGGATGAGATTGGAGAGGGGAATTTTCAAGGTAGTCCAGACATTCAGAACGGATTTGAATCGGACGATGAGCGCTTTGAGGGACAGGTTTGTTTGTGCTTGCGAGCCGATTGACTTGTCAACAAGACACTAGCAGTCTAACAATTGAATCGCGCTTTCTATGACCCGTTGCGGATGATGTCAAAGAATGACAGGGCCTTCGAACGATCATTCGTTGGTAGACCTAGTAGGCGGACCGTTCTTGGGCTTAGACTGGAGGACTTGAACCCAAGTAGGTGTGCGTTATCGAGCCATCGCGCGGAGAGGTGAAGCGGAGGAAAGAGAACAAAAGCATACAGAGTGGGTAATAGTTGAAGTTTAATAGACTGACCAACAGATTCTAGCATCTTGTCGCACTCGTCAAGAACAAAGGTGCGAACGGTGTTGCACTTGAGGAGTCCATCCCGTACCAAGGCGTTCAAACGACCAGGGGTACCGACAATGATGTGGGGACATTTGTCTTTAGCTTTCAGCATATCAGCATCTTGCTTGATTGAGACACCACCATAGACGACAGCAGTGCGGACATCGGGCATATATTTGCTGAACCTAGCATACTCGTTTCGAATTTGATAGGCCAATTCACGAGTGTGACAGAGAACCAGCATAGAAACTTCGCCATCTTTGGGATCAATCTGTTGGAGGGTTGCGGTGACGAAAACGGCAGTTTTTCCCATTCCAGATTTAGCCTGACATAAGACATCCATTCCTAGGATGGCCTGAGGGATACACTCCTGTTGGACTGATAGAAGACAAGATGATTTAGTCGCACTTTCAAAAGCATATAGGGAGCGATCGGATCAAGGGAAATTACTACACACCTTCGGAAGGGTGCTCGAATCCCAAGTCACTGATTGCTCGCAGAAGCTCAGGCTTGAGCAAAAAGTCACGGAAACCAGTTCTTCAAATCATAGGAGAAAAGCCTTTAGTAAATCGCAAGAGAAACCGATCGAGCCATAAGACAGCAGATCGAGGAGACTTACGAATGGATACCGACATAAGAACCCTTTTGGTCCTTTCCATTGGAAGGAATTGCGCCACCATTAGTGGTTGAGGTAATAGAGGTGACGGGAGGAGCGAGACCAGCATCATCCTCGTCGTAGTCTGGATTGAGAGAGGTGATTGACACGGGTTGAAGGCGAGGATGATGTTAGAAGACGGTTGATGGGTTGAACGACAGAACGGACCAACCAATGAGGTCTTCGGCGTGTTCGGCCATTGAGATCGATCAATTGATATGATGATGATCTAAAAGGGTTTTAGAGGTCAAGAGAAAGGAGTGGTAGGATATGAGAATGAAGGATGAAGGATGAATTTGTGAGTCTGACGCGTGCTGAGGGGGTTGATCGATCGATGATGAGAATGAAGAAATGAGAATGAGTCAAGACTTGAAGAAGATCTAAAAACCGTTTCTATGCAGAAAAGGAAATCAGCAGAACTCAACAGTTTGGCAAAAACTGGATTAAATCAAATCAAATCAAAACCACATATCAAATACAGTCGAGGACCACACACAAATGATCACACCCTACCATAGCACTCACTGGCAGATGCTCTCCAATGAATGACCAGCACACCTGATCACCATCAATTCCATTGTGAATCAAATCAGATGCCAAATTGACCACAAACATCTCCAATATTCATATTTTCATTAAACCAAAGGATTTGAACCAGGAAATTGAGAACCTTTTGATGTTTTGAAGAGAGATCAGGTAGTCCAGAGCATTGCCTTTTATGATTCAACTCATGAATCAAACTTGATGAAAGCATCAAAATCGGATGAATCTTCAAGTAATTTGATGAGACTCATCTGAAGTTTTCCTCCTCATCTGTGCAGATATCCATGTGGCACATTGTCTTATCTCACACCGCTAATGGATAAGAAAAGTCATTGGTTCTGAAGAGTGGATTTAAAGGAGTGGATAAAGATATAAAGATATGTGTTTGAAGATCACAAGATATATCAGATTCAGAGGGCTGGACAGTCTCTATGTAGTCTCTGGACTTGAAAGGATGAGGTGTCACATGAATGATAGTCTTAATCATCTTTGATGTCACATGCTTACCATTGATAATTCAATCCAAAAATCCAACCGATTAAAACTTTAAAAGGATTCCAAAGAACAAATCCCATTCACTGTCAGCTTAATCCTAAATTTAAATTCACAATCCATTCAAAGAACAACCAACAACAACAACTCACAAGGTTCATCTCAATCAACTCATCGATCATTCTCTTCAACTTCATCTTCATTGTAGATCGCAATGGCTAAGAGTTCAAATTCGATCGAACCTTGGAATGCTATCGAACCACAAGCTTTTGAAAGTAGTGATGTAGGCTCTTATCATCCTCTTTACCTACTTCTCATTGCATCCAATTCTGAACTCCTTCACTCCATCCACATGTGCTGATGATCATCATTGGTTTTTTTGGCTTGGATTGTTAATTAGGATGAAGACTTGTGTCCCCTTTGTATGGAGGAGCTGGATGTCTCCGATCTCAACTTTAGACCATGTCCTTGTGGATACCGCGTCAGTCTACCTGTCTCTTTTTTTCTCTTTCGATCAAACCTATTACAACTCTTCGTTCATGCCCTGCTTCAATTTTAGATCTGTCGATTCTGCTGGCATCATATTAAAGAAGATCTCAATCGAAGATGTCCTGGATGTCGAAAAGAATACGATGATAGTGTAGTAGAGTTTAAACCTATGAAGGCAGAGGAGTAAGCACTCACTTTTGAATCCTCAAATCCACCATGTCATCCTAGACTTGGCTTGAGTCTGGTCTGTTGAGATTTCTTTCTTGACTTTGGCTAGGCTGAAACGCTTGCAACAAGCTAAGAAGCAACGAGACAAGGATAGAAAAGACCTCGAACTTGTCAATCGAAAACATCTTGCGAATGTTCGAGTTAAACAGAAAAATCAAGTTCATGTTCAAGGTCTTACCACAAAGATTGCCAATGAAGATGTTAGTGCTGTCCGTTGACAGTCATTCTCGATCATTCACAGTCAGACTGAATCTTTTCCCTTTATCACATCTCTAGACATTGGCTCAGTTGAAGACCAGTGAAATGTTTTCTCAATATGGTCGAATCTTGAAGATGTTTATGTCACGTCGCACAGGTCCCACCAATCTTTATACGCCCGACTCTCGATACCAACACGTCAATCTATACATCAATTTTTCAAAAAACACAGAAGCTCTGGCTTGCATTCAAGGACTCGATGGCACCTCACTACCCGATGGACATCGATTGAAGGCTAGTCTCGGCAGCACAAAGTATTGTGCTTCTTTTCTGAGAGGACTGAAATGTATCAATGATAACTGTACCGCTGCTCATGAATTGGCCGAAGAAGTCGAAGGGGGTGGCAGTGCTGCTAGAGAGGAAATGTCTACCGCGTATCTATCACCTTCTATCTTCACATTCCCTGGCATTCCCATCGCTAATCCACCCGAACCTATTTCCAGGCGACATGCACAAAAGGAGAGTGAACATCGTATCTCTCCCAAGAATCACATTTCACACGCTCTACATCCAAGCTCTTCAACGCCCGCCAACCCTCTTGCTTCAGGTGTCGCATTGCCTGCTACTGCGTCCTGGGCGAACAAATCAAGCTCAAACAGTCGGCCGGCTTCACCTGCACCTCATCTATTGTCTCTCCAGAATCAAGCTCAGCACTCTTCGCCCTCAGCTAAGCTTATGTTGCGGGGAACAACATCGACTGCTTTGAAGCCTACACATCCTTTACCGCCCAAACCACGTCATAACTCTCCCTACGGAGCAAAGGTCAAATCTACCAGTGAAGAGCCTAACTCTACCGGCAAACCTCTCTCTGGCCTACACTCCAACGAGGCTGGGACCAATAACAAATCCTTTCGCCCTACTTCAGATTCACAGGCTGATGATCCTCATCATCAACGCATGGCTGATGAGAAAGACACTCAAAAGCCTGATGAAGTATCCCCTACAAACGTCACCTTCACCACCACAACTCCACATCCTCCTGGTTTGCCTCCGCCGGGTCTCAATGGCCTACCTCCGCCTGGCTTGACCGCATCCTCGGCAGGCACGTCCCCAGCCACACGTGTGCCTACCTCCCTGCCGCCTGGCCTTACACCCCCACAACCTGTAGACTTTGCCTCCTCGTCTTGGCATGGCGCCTTTGATGTAACCGTTGCTTTGGAGCCCAAGTTTGCTCAGACATCTCTCCGAACCTCTACGGGAAAAGACGACAAGATCGACATTCTGTCTACTTTCTCACCCAATTTCACTCTCACGTCTCGATCTTCAATTTTCGACCCATCAGACGACCCTTTCTACTGCGTGCCGGATCCTACTATCCCTACTAGTTATTCAGGGAGCTTCAATCCCTTTGCGGATACTGACATCAATCCGCCTGATCGCATGGCAGGAGGTGAATCACAGGGGAAGATAGGGGATGGTCGATCGGACGAACCTTTGATTGCACGGCGAGGTTCTAGGTTTGGATTTGCTAGACGTGAATCGGGCTTGACTACAGGTCTGACGGTAGAGGGACCTTCATCGTCTCCTCTGCGGAGCATCTTCTCTAGCAATAGCGCAGATGGCGGTGGTCCGAGTGGTCAGAATAATCTCAGTAATTCGGCTAGATCGGCGATGACAGTTGGCAGGTCTGATGGATCAGTACACTTGGCAAGTAACACCCCAGGGGAATCGACACCTGATGCTTCAGTTCTATTTCCTGGAGTCAATCTCGCTGCTTCGTACTCGGCAAACGCACTGCCGGCTGCCTTGGCGCGGGGTATGAAATCCCCAGGAAGCACACCTTCACGTCCGTCAACAAATACACCTCCTGTATCATTCCAAAGTCTAACGCCATCCACTCATCTACGTGACGCTATGATTGCATCATATGATCGCCCCAACGATCGGCTACCACCAGCTTTCAACCCTCGGGCTACCGCGACAAGTCCTACATACCCTCACACACATCTTTCGAACCATCATGAAGATCTTTTACGAGGAGAACATACTCGAGACCGACGAGTGGATGTCACCCCTGGCGCATTTAATATGTCCTCGCAGTATTCCATGGGTAATGGGGATATGGGTCATGAATTCCAAGATCCAGCTATCTTGAACATGAGAATGGCCTCTAATGCCAATGGTGCCTATGCACCTCCACTTTTACCTAGTTCAAGTTCAAGTCATAGTGTCAATGATCTTTATCCACAATTCAATATGAATGCAGCTGGATTTCATAATGTGATGAGTTCAGGTCGGCCTCATTTTCCACAAACTCAAACTAATCAAGATCTTTTAAATCATTATGGTTTCCCTGGTGTTCATCCGTTGGCTAATGCTCCTAATAATCGAGTTCAATCACATACTTATTATAATGTGAGTACGATTGGTAGTCAAGGTTTGATGAGTGGCAATGCTCAAAGAGGTAGGGTTAATATTTCTTGATATCATTCTGTTTTAGTTATTGAGTGAAGTTTATGCTGATCTTGGCCATCCACCTCTTCCATCGTATGCATAGACTCACAGAGACATCGATGATGGAATCAAAGATTAATTGATCGATTCTTTTGTCGTTTTCTAAAATGTTTTGTGGATAATGTTTCAGTCCAATTTGAAGTTGATTTTTCTTTTTCTTTGATTTTGATCTTAACTTTTCTCTTTTTTTCCCCTCTTTGATTTTTAAATATTCTCATACAATATATGGTCTTTTTTTGATCAGAAATTTCAATTGAATTATACATCTTTCTTTTTTTGTAAAGTTTGATACACGATTTTCTATTAAAGAAAGAAAGAAAGATAAAAAATAAATATATATATGAAATTTGGGCTTGGAAGATTTTGAACCTCATTCTTAAGGGCGCGTTCACTTAAGGAATTTCTGACCAGAAATCACATTCTGTAAAATTTTTAATGCAAAAATGAAACATACACCACCAAATAGACACTTTAAATTTTGCAGAATGTGATTTCTCACCAGAAATTGCTTAAGTGAACGCGCCCTTAGCTTTGTGTTTTTGTGTGCATCTTTGATCTTTCAAGAGAAATTTCTGTTCTCTATCGTGTGCTATGAATGGTTTCCTGCGGAGAAAGAAGATTGGGGTCATTGAGCACTTGAATTTCAGTCTGATCAACAATCACTTGCAAACAAAGTAAAATAAGTTATGTAAGATGGTTTTCAATTGCGCTGAATTTGGGCTTAGCAACTGGTCGAGATTCTTTATAAACTATTGGTTAAGCTTGGTGGAGCACCGATCTCGTGAACTTGGACTACAATGTGTCAGCTTCATCTCAAGATGTTTTTCCTGGGAATATCTTCTACTCAAGGTCGTTTTGGTTCACGATTTTTCAGAACAAGCCTTAACAAGCTTCTTTGACTACCATTGAAGATCATCGAGTGTTGGATTTTCACTCGTTTGTCATCAAGAGTCGGCTGGGGATTGTGAGCCATGTCATGACTTTCAGTCGATTATCTTTGATCGTGCCACCATGGCAAGAGGGAGAATCAGTGAAATGCTGGTCTGATATCTTGAGATGGTATGAGAATTTGATAGAGACATTCGTACCATGAAACTCCGAAACCTGATCAACTAGATACAACTTTGAACACAAAACAAAGCAGGTATGGTATGGTATGGACACGTTACAATAAATTTTGCAGTTCAGGCTGAATTAGATCTGGAAAAGAGCACCATGATGAATGTAACATGTCTCAAGAATCGCTCATAGTTCAAAGTTTCATCTTCCAATGGAAATGGTAAGACTAACTTCAATTCACCACTCAAACCCAATAGAACATAATCTGATACTGATTTTCGAGACCGATTGGGTGAGGAAGGGGCATTACAAGTGTAAGTTGAGAAAAAGTTCACGTCGCGCTCTAGTGCGACGCGAAATCAAGGAAAATAGGGGAAATTATTCTTCATAGTCTGGGTCTAAGATTTTAGCACTTCAAAATGTTGATAACTTTTCGAAGTTCTTCAGTGATTCATTTTGATTCACTCTTTAAACAACATTCATTTTTCATCAATCCCAATCAAATCAGCAAAAGTATAAATTATTTAAAAATATATTTCATTAACTTCAATACCCTCGTTTCCGGTCACGATCTTTAAGAGCTACCTTCTTCCCTCATGGTCGCACAAATGCTTAGGCGGCTGATTCCGGTGGTCTTGATCATCGGATGTAGCCGCTGTGCTCAATTCAATCGCCGTGCTTTAACCATGGGTCCAGGTCGTGAGTGATTTGATGGACTCGATTTCGATTTTGAAGAAAACTGATTGAGATCCAATCGGAACCTTAGCCGCGATTCCCTCCAACCAAACCGGAGCTCCAACACCTGCGGCTAATTTGACCTCACCTTCCACTCAGCCAATCGTGGCTACACCAGCAGGTTCTACACCTAATGTGACTCCTAGTAATACAACTAATACCATTAACCCAGCAAATCCAAATGCGTGTCAAAAACTACCAATCACTCCTAATACTTGGAACCAACTTGGAATTGATAACTATCTTCAAAGTTATCCTGGAGGAGCTAATCTTTCTCTTACCGTTGGTTTGATCTTCTGTCATCTATTCATTCATCTTTACACGAGGTATAAAGAGACTTATTCTTATCTTTTCATTCAAATATAGGCTTTTGCTAAAGCTAATGGAGCTGCTAACTTTGGTTGTGGTGAGGGAGAGAACTGTAATGCGGGACAGGTGAGTGGTTTCATTGAAGTTATTTATCTTCTCATTTTGACCTTCAAATATGATCTGATAAGTTTCCTTGATTGATCTTTCTTGGCAGTTATGTCATCCTGTTCAATCGCCAGCTTGGCAGGTTTTGTATGCCGTGCAAGAATGGAATCATAATACTAACATGTTGATGGATTCAGTAGCATATTCTATGGGAATGGTACAATGTAAGTCATTTTATTTCAGTTTTGACTCCAACAACACGGATTGTATGAAGGACTTTGCTAAAATCTCCGCTCTAATCAATAGCCACTTCGGCCGCTATGGTCAATGATCTGTAAGTTTTGATTCTATCATTTTCTAATTCCAGGGCCGATTGATTGATGAGTGATATTATTCAATAGATTTCCACAAGAGAAGAATTCAAGATTTGTCTTGGACTTAACTTGGTTATACACTACTGTGATCGGAGCTGCTAGTTTAGGAGCAGCAGTGACTGCTGGTACTGTGATCGCAGCTGCGGCAGCAAGTGCTATTACAACCTTAACCCTTACTAGCGCATTATCTTTTATGTTTTTGAATATCCCGATCCTTGTGGCTCAAGGTGCAATGATTGCTACATTCTTTCAAGATCCAGTTTCTACACCTGGATTTGCTGAGGTAAGTAAAGATTCATTAAGATTCGAAGTAGGATCGCATATACTGATTAATCATTTTAAACCGATCAGTGGACTCAATTATCATTTTATCTTGCAAGAATGCAAGATGTCTTTCAAAGGAATTGTGCAGAAAACACACAAAAAATGATTGATTCTGGAATCAGTACAGATTTAGGAATCTTTGGAGCTATTAAAAACGGAAATTTCTTTTTTCCTACTGCTTTACTTGAGATGAGTAAAATAGAAGAACAAATTGGAAAAATCATTAAGGCTAGATTAGTTAATAAGATCTTGAGACAACAGGTTTGCATTCCATTTTCGATCTTTTCTTCATATACTTGGAAAACTTTATAAATACTTACGAGACGTTTTTATTGTATCTTTTGGTGTGATAGGGTGCTTTTGTGACAATAGGAAGTGTGAGTACCTTTTTTCGACATCCTCTTTCATGGTATCATTTGCTTATCAGATCATTTTGCTTCAGGATCCGTGTCACGGCAGTGGACCAAATGGTTCTCGAGCAGGCAATGACAGACTTTCATATTGCGATAAAGACGGCGTGTAAGTCATTAAAAAGACACTCTAAATCATAGCTCATTACTTACAAAGAGACGTATGAATAACTTCACACAGGATGTATAACGTCGTTCGTGCAGAAGGCAAGAAGACGAAAAATGATATCTACAATGCTATTATGATTCGTGATAAATACGGTTTTACTGCTGAAGACATTACAACTATCTCAGTTCAATGTCAAGCCAAATATGGAAATTTTGAACATGATCCACTCGTTGACCCGTACGTTCATTTTTTCAATTTCAAGGTGCTTGCTCTACCAACAAGACGCTGATATCTTTGAATTCATTTAGTCAAGCTCGTTTAACTGGTAATATGGATTGTGGATTTAATTTACCAGTATGTAACTGTAAAGATGAAGGTAAGTCAAGCTTCAAACAGAAAAATAAAAACCTTGAAAGATGACTGATTTAATTTTCTTTGGATCTCTCTAGCTGTTGCTGGTAAACGTAGCAATGGTAAAACAACTGTTGTTGCTTGTCGTGAAGGACTTGGTTTACCTATTTAAATTTTCATTTGATTTCTAGTCAAAGAATTTGTTTTGGTATTTGAAGATGTTTTTATTTCTTTTTGATGTTGAATGATTCATAACTCAATGATACCTTTTCTTCTTCCTTGAGTCAAATCTTTTATTGTGACAATCTTTGAACCAGTCTTAAGAGAAAAGATGACAGTTTACATGTGAGGGTGTTTTATACGAGGCAATTGATCAACTACTTTGAGGAAATTCGAGATCTTGCATTTCGAGAGGTCCGATCATATAGATCCCTCATATCTTATGTCTCTTGAGTTTCGCGGAGAAGTGCAAAAGGTTTGTAAAGATTTATACTCGTCTTGGCTTCCAGCTTGAATTCTTTGTTATGCCCAAGACAACAGGAAGGCAGAGTAGGGAATGCTACAGAACTTAGGTGGTTAATGTCATTGAAGAATCAATTTCATCGATCTGTGTTGAGATCATTCCGATACAAACCAGTCTTCTTTTACCGTGTTATGCAACGTTGTAGCCTTGTGTAGTCATGACTGATACCCCAAAGAGTCTTAAGTTTTTGAGGTGCTCACTACTCTCAACTGCACCCTCTGAGCCAGTGTCAACCAGTATGCCTTGGGAATCTCAACCTTGAGGGGGATGGTCAAGTCATGATAGTGTGCATCCCACTCCTGTTTGTTCATGTGTCTGTTTTAATTTTCTAAAAAGCCAATGAACACATTCTGGTTACTATCAAGAGACTTCTTAATCTGTCAATGTCATGTTTGCATTTTTTTCTTTTTTGGTTTTTATTTATGAATCTTGCTATTCTTAGCTCCTAAAGAGACCATTCAGATGTAGTGAATGTGGAGCTTGGAAGTAAATTCAATGGCTCAGGCTTGACAAACATTCAAAAAATTCTCCAAGTAGTTGAGGAAGGGACTTATGGCTAATGTCATGGCTTCTCACAACAGCAAGTTTCTTGGCTATTTCTTTGTTTTTGCCCATTATGAGGATTCCACACCTCATAAAAGCTTGCTTGCTGACGCACACAGCTTTCTTGACATCTTGTGGCTCTTCTGGTCTCAGTTTCAGATCTTCATTGTGGATAGATTTGCTGCTATTGCAATTCTTGGACACTGTCTGTTTGGAGGCATCTGCATACATGAGCCTTCTGTTCAATTAGGTGTTGCAGCTGCAACTTCCTACAACTCTTCTGAGTGAGCTAGATGGATACAATGGAGGCTAAAAAACACACAAGGACATGTACAAGTAGACACAGAAATGAAGAGCCTGGCAGCTGGAAGCAAGAGTCTAGAACCCTCATAATCAGTAATAAAGCAAAGAAGGCCCAAAATCATGCTGTTGTGAGTTAAAAAGGGGGACTTTAGCCATAAGTCCCTCCCTCAACTAATTGGGCAGGGAAGACTTTGATAAGTTTGAACATTGCACCTGGAAGTGTCACCCCTTCTGAGGCTGAAACTCTTCCCAGATCTCACACTACTCTAAATCATCATCCAAAATCATCAAAGATGGCTTGCTGTTTGTGTTGCTTAAATCTCCCAGTAAAGTAGTATCATTTTGAACTGTTCCAATATCCAACTCTATGACAAATTTTTGGGCATCTCTATCATCAAAATCACTATTTTTTATCCCACTCCACCCTCTCACATCTCCAAGATTGTTGGATATGCCTGGTTTTTGCCCTGCATACTCTTGCACAAAATTTGAGGGTAGCAAGCCTGGGCCAGCATCACTTCTGTTACATACTACACTACAGAGATATCACGGGTCCTCTGGCCTTCACCGCACAACAGATCCCATGGATATATTTCAGCCTGCCCTGCCAAGCAACAATATCCTTGGTAAACTCACTGGGTTCTCTCACTGCAAAGGCTCTAGTGGATTTGATCCTTGAGGTATTTATTTTCTTTTGGCCACAGAAAATGATCAGGATTCAAGTTTTGTTTGGCACTGATGTGCAATGCCAATAGGGGGCCACACAACAAGCCCTTTCCATTTGTTACGTAGGTGCACCTGGATTGTAGCACAATTTGGGGGTGCTTGTCATGTGTTGCAGCACAATCCAGCTGCAAAAACACCTGATGTGGAGCACTGTGTTTCTGGCCCAGGGTTGAGGGTAGTCATGCTTTGAAGTTTTACTGATGTCCATCTCCTTGACCTTTATATGGGCCACCTAGGCTTAATGTCAATTTGAAAATTTCCAGGCTCAGGTGGAATAAAGAAGTCAAATGACTTCAGGTGTCAAAATCCCATACCTGAACAGGATTTTTAGTGGACTATGAGAAGCAAGACCCTATTTTGACATGAATTATCATTGGTCATAATTTGTTATTAGTATAAATTTTTGGTCTTTGCTCCTTGACCTTGAAAGATGTGAAGTTTTTTGTCCCCTTTTTATTATATTCAGAACTTATAATCATTCAACTCTGGAAATTTGGGTGTTAGTGCTTGGGTGGTTATAAAAGTTAGGTGAGAATATGTGGGGGTCAAGACTACTGAAATGGCATGTTAAAATCAACAGTGTCTTTGATTTCAAGGGGGAGGGTGTAGTTCACCATGATTTCAACATGTAAGTCCTAAATATTAGAATCACATTAACACCTATTTCACAAAGGATGAGAGCCTTATCTCTGATCACTGGCCATCAATGTAAATGTTTATTGACAACTACATGTATCATGTATGGATGCGAGTCGTGTCAAGGAATCCACTACAGTACAGCAAATGTGCCTGGTAGCCCAAAACCAATATTAACACCAAATTTCTCCTGGGTAGACAATGGTTATGATACCACTACAGTTCTACCTGTTTCATGATGCAATGATTGTATCTTGAGTCTGACAGTTTTGGATTGCCTAATAAAAATGGCTCAATATGTACCTTGCAAGAAGACACTCACATCTGACTGACTGGTAGGCCTGATGATCCAAAATTTTTGAAGACTCCTTGGAACACCTTAGATAATCACATTTACTGAATGTATTGTGTTCATTTCAGAAATCACAAGAGATTTACATAGAATAATGTGAAATGATACATACAATAGTTTTGAAAATGTTTGTCACAAATCCTTTGTCAAGCAAGGACCCAAGCCTGGCAGTTGGGCATTTTCAATTAAAATTGGTGCCAAAGCAAAACCAGATTCAGAAACAGAAGTAAGAAGAGTGTATATAGGTATGCTACCTGCAAACAGTATCCAAAGCTGAGGCGGTGTGGGTTCAGTGCAATTTGGATAATCTCTAGACCACCGTCCAATTGTGATTGAAAATTCTCAACCACAACTTGGCCCCTAGTGTAACAAAAAATTGTGACCAACATCTTTAAAAGTAATGCAACCATCTACAGCTTTGTGCCACCCACAAACCAACACACAGTCAAGAAACATACCCGTCATCCACATATCACAAACAAGACAATTGGTGCTCACTCTTGAGAATGGGAGAGCTGTCCCATAACACCAATGAACATGTTTCAATTGGAATATTTCCGTTCAAAGAAAAACATGTGTATCAGGTAAGTTTCACAGGGGTATAACAGGATACAATTTCTTCCATTGGCAGAGGAGTGAATGGCTTGAATCATTGATGTCCAGGAAGAACTGAAAGACACAATGAGCACAACTCAAGAGACAATAAATTAACAGCATGCCAAGAAAGTACAAGCTACAGCATACCAGAGAGAAGGAGAAATAGTTGACTCTAGCTTAACAACTAAGGTATTCCAACTACAAGATCCAGGCCTCAAATTTCTGACTAGGACCTGTTCCTACATACATTGAACTAATTGTCTAAAAACTCTTAGACATGGGATCTACCAAAGTCAATGGCAATGAGAAACACACAAGATTTAATTGACCAATGTGATATTGAATCCTCTCAAGTAGAAAGCAACAACCCAGGAGCTGAACCATCAAGATCAGGTTGAACTACACAAGGGGTGGTGGTGTTATGAGCCATATACACACAGAAATTGCATTCATATGCTCAAGAGCAGATGAATGCATTTGTGATTGCTCCCCATGTTGCAATCTATATCTTCCCAGAGACCTGCAAAAGATTCCCTTAATAAAGCTTGTCTTTGCATGATAAGTCTTCACAGTCGACATATCAGAAATGGAAAGAAGTCTGGTTGTAGAAACATACGGCTGTAAATGTTCTGAAGTTTGCAGAGTTCAATTTCCTGGGGGGAAAGACGGTCTTCAGACACCTCAAGAGACTCTCTATTGCCACCTGAAATACACCAAAGGATCATTTTTGATCAAAATTGAATCCAACAAATCAGATAATGCAATATGTGAAACCATAAGCCCTTTACAAAAAAAACTCCATGGCTGATTTCATGCTGCTTTCCTTGTCCTTTTCACCAATTTTACTAGCATATTGGTCCAACTCTGGATCATGTTTTCAAAGAATTTGCCGCCCAATAACCATGGTCGCATCATTTTCCTTGTTCCATAGTATCACAATTTGCTGGTGTAGGCAAAGAGAAATCTCAATTTCTCCCCAAACAGGTAGGAAATTGTGATTTTGCTCAATTGAACCACAAACTTTGGGGGACTCAAACTTGTCATCTAAGCGTCTTCATGGCAATGTTGGTCACTATTTTCTGTGTGTTCAATGCTCCTTGGACAGTTGAATTCTCAAGATTTCTTTACAAATATGAATACATTCTCATGACTCCCTCTCCTTCATACCTATCCTTTTCCATTAATTTCACGATATACCTAAGAGCTAACCAAATGATTACGTTATATAAAATATCTTATCAAAACTCATCAATCTCTACTATGTACATCATCTATTTATAAAATATAATTCCTCACTCCAATATCAAGAACCACAATCAAACCACAAAACACATCTAAATAATTACTAATCATCATAACTTCTATCATCACTATCATCTTCTTCATCCACTTCATCTTGATCTGACCATGCTCTTCCACGGCGATGATGATGATGATGATGTGATCCTTCATATTGACTCGCTTCTGAATCTTGATCACCTTCATCATGAATGGTCGAGTCTAAGAAGATTGGCAGAAATGAAAATTCAATAGGTTTGAAGTTCAAGAGTGGTCAAGGTAAGAAATTCAACTTACGATCATCTTCTGAACCTTCTGAGCCTTCAAATGAATCACTACGCTCTTGATGATGATGAGTATGCGACCTTTGCCCGTAGGCCCTCGAGGGCCCTGATGGATAACGCCTATCATCAACACCACGCTCACTCGATTGTTCCGAGTCATCACTTTCATCAGATTGACTTGGTCGTCCTCTTCGAGAGGCATCACTATTGTAGTTATCAGAATCCCTCGACTCAGATGTGTAATCATCAAGGTCAATCACAGGATGATGATCAGGTCCATGATCAAGGTGATTCCTAGGACGAGGATTAGGTACATGTACAACTGAATCGGATCGATCTCCAGAATCATCGGATTCTATCACGCGTCTTCTGTACTGTCGATGATCATGATGACAAGTTTCATCCGAGTCATCGGAATCAATGACTCCTGAACTATGTACCCTTTGTTCACGATGATAATCATTATGATCTTGATCTGAACTTTCCATATCTGGATCATCTGATTCTTCGTCCAATCCCATCAGACGACGAGCCCTTAGTAAATCCGCTAGATGATTTCGAGCGTGATGATGTAAGCGATGTAAGCGATGAAAATGATGCTGATCTGAATCGTAAACTGATTCATTACTAAAAACCAGCAGAAAGAAAGGGAAAAAACGAATCAACACTCAAAAATATGAGATATGAGATTTAAAAATGTATATGGCGTACGATCCTAAAGTAAAGAAGAAGAAAAAGAAGAAACAGTCAAGTCTTAGTTTGATGATTTCAAAACAAAAAGAGGTTTTTGAGAGAATCAAAGATAGAACGAACGATTTGTATAACTTGAATTTGATTGTTGACTTTGACCTGCCCATCTACCATCTGAGTCTTCACTATTACCATCATCAGAATCATTCACATCTGAATAAATTTCACCACTGTTACATTCAATTTTTGGGAGTGAGATTGATTCTTATTAGGTTTCAAGTGATTTTCAAAAATGGAAAATGAATCGAAATTTTCAACTTACCATCCTTCACAAATCCCATCAGCAGCAATTTCCCAATTACATTGACCACAACGTCTTACACCATCTTCCACATCATGTACAACCGGACGAGGAAGATGATTAGCACCTAAGAAGATATTACCCCATGTTACATCTTTTTCATCTCGATGAGCTTCTGGATCATGTCGAATTTGAGGGTCAGAATTCCCAGTATTTTCGATTAAACCTTCATCTTTACGTAAATGATCGGTGGCTTCTTTGATTGCATAAAGTTGAAAGGGTGGAGTATGGACTGCTGTTCTACATTGTGGACAGATTAAGTTTTTCTTTTTTCGATAGGCTGATGGTCTTGGTGGTTGGATTCTAGGAGGAGGTTCGTTGGTGGTCGGGTTGGTTGATGAAGCTCCTGGTGGATTGTCTTCTACAGGTGGATTTCTATTGGATGTTGAAAGTATTGGTCGTCCTGGGGTTTAAAGGCAATCAGTTTAAATGACAGATAGTTGATTAGATATTAGGTCAACTCAAGATAGATCAATTCAAGATGATTCATACCATGATTTCCATTCACTGTTCTGGGTTCATGGTTATTTGTGTACTCATCAAGATCCGAAATATCAAATTCAAGTTCTGTATCATAATCTGAAGGAAGTCTATGAAACCAAGCATAAAGATCTTTATGGCAAAATATATGACTATATTTCAATACACCAATAGAAAATCCAATGAGTTAGTTGGATTTGAAAGTAAACTTTGTGATTGAGAAAGAGCTTACCCGCAAAGGAGTGTATAAGGTGAATTGAAAGTTTCAAAACAAATGTTACATCTAAGACTTGATCTGACTGAATCCAAAAGTTCAGCTTTAGTTTGTAAATCCTATCCGAAACCACGAAGATAAAGAATTGATTAGATTTTGATGAACTTGAAGTCAACACGAGAAAGTGGAATTTGAAGAAAAGAGAATGGATGAATGGATACCTTTTGAGATTCAGCAAGTTGAGATTGAGTTTGATTTAATTGAATTTGAATTTGTTTTAATTGATTTTTGATTGATTGATCATTTGAAGAAACTGACGAAGGAGAAGAAGGAGAAGTGTTTGTATGTTTTCTTTTTTTATGATTGGGTTGTTTTGGGATTGAAGTTGAAGAAGATGAGATTGGGATAGGTTCTTCTGATTTTCTTTTTGGGTTGATTTGATTTGATGTCATTTGAGTTTGATGTTGAGAATTCAAAGTATCGTATCGTGTTGAAGTGTTTCCAGATTGATTGTTCTATTGATAAAGAACTTGAAGTTGATGATATTTGTTTCTTTGAGTTTTAATCTGAACTTGATTAGTTCCTTATCCAACCACTTCTTCAACAAAACCTCAGACTCAGCACTCACTCTAACTTCCGAGGGCACCGAGCTTCGACGCGCCATGCCCTGGCGGCTGACCTGGCTTGGCCTCTGCCCATGCGTATGAACAGAACATCCCAATCAGCGTGATAGCCATGTGTTGTTCCTTGTGAAATCTGTAAGTCGGTCCTTTCACAGTAGTGACAGAGCTATAGCATAGTATGATATATGCTTATAACCGAATATCCCAAATTTCTCCCTGATCACTTTTTTGTTTGAGATTTTTGACAATTTTCCTCATTCAAGCTTCAATTGATCATCAAGATGTCAGCTGAGATCATGTCCCTCTTTGGGCCATTATCTAACCCTCATCTCAATCAACGTATCTCTGCTGCTTGCTCAATAGTCTCTTCTTTAGCTCCTACTCAATCAAATCAAAAAACTCAAGATGATACTCAACTTGTCGATGACGCTGACTTTCAATATACTATCAAACGTTTGGTTCGTGGTCTGGCTAGTCCTACTGTTGGGGCTCGTTTGGGATTCTCAGTGGCTTTAACTGAAGTTAGTCTTTAAACGCTTCACTCATTATCAATCGAATCATCTTACTAACATTGATCCATTTAAAACAAAATCGAATTTGGTCAGATTCTTTCAAAATCTCATCATGTATCAGCTCAATCAGTTTATTCTCTCTTAATCTCATCAACGGAAAATCAAGGTGGAATGAAAGCATCTGAAGAACGTGATTTATTATTGGGTAGATTATTTGGAATCAAAGCTATCGTTTCATCGGGTCTTATCTTCAGGTCTTCATTAGATTCCGATTCTCAACTTAAAATCTGGAATTCATTAGTGGATGACTTGAACTCATTAACTCGTAGACGATCTTGGTTAGCTGAAAGTGCAGGTTGGGTACTTACCTGTGGTATGCTTCAAAACCTATTGGCTCGTTCAGAACCTATTTCTTGGAAGGAGACTGCGTTGAAAACTTTAGTAGAAAAAATCTTCATTCAAAATACATCATGGAATCTCGAGAAATTAGCAATGGCCATTCTTTTACAACGCTATGATATCACCATCGACTGGAATTCAATCTTACGTGACATCTTGCCAGTACCTTTGATCCTCAGCCCAGAAAACATGTCTACTTTGTATGGTTACTTGATCTCATCTGGCCACTCCTTGGAGCCTTCCGATTCCAAATCTGCTTCGACTCCCGCTACATCTCATCCTGCCTCAACAAACGAACCTTCTACTCACCCTCACTTTATCCATACAATCATCACCTTTGCTTCTCCGTCTATTTCCAATGGGTTTTCTGTTTTCGAATTATATGTTCAACTTCTCGAGAATTTTTACTTTACACCTCATGAGTCAAATCCTACTCGAAAGTGTCAAGGCTTTAACCTCCTGAATGATTTACTGGCTTCAGCTCATATCACTCAAGCAGATAAACCTAGTTTACTTACTTCTGCCACTACATATACCTTGATGGTCCAATCAGCTGCAAAAGACCGTCTGCTTCATAAATCCGCACGATCAGTGCTAACCACTCTCCTCGATCAAGCAGAACAATCTCCATCACTTGCACTTGGGTTTGCTACTCATATCAGGAAAACATTACCTAATTTTGATGAACAGAGTAATACCAAGACTTTGGAAACTCTATTGACATTAATGAAGGATGAAGAAGTTCAAAATTGGGTACACGAATTAATCAATGCTTTGGAATTTGGTCAACCTAATTGGTCAGATCACGTTTCTCAAGATGCATCAGATGATGATGGTGATTCACCATCAGATCTCATTGATGACAAGTTTAGACAACAAACCCTTTCACAACTCTGTACTATTATTCATAACCGTGCTATCCCAAAAACTCGAATTTGTACAAGATCAATCATTTATATGATCATCTCTTGTGGCTTCTATGGTCAATTGACTAACCTCTGGCCTTCAGAACCTTTGAAAGCATCCAAGCGACCCAAAACAAATCCTGAACCGGCGAAGACTGATCCTGCAACACCCTCACCCAACTTGGCATTTTTTGATTTATGTCGATCACGCTTTTACTCTTGCATGTCAGATTTATCATGTAAAGCACCAGAAACTGTCACCAAAGTTATCAAGCCTAATGGACCTCGTCAAAACAAGTCGTCTTCGATCAGTCAACCTAAAGATCAATCGGGAAGTGTTGAAAAACGATGGACAAGTGAAGCTTTAGAAATCATGCTCCATCACGAAAGTAATGGTCAACGATCCTTGATAGACGAGAAAAAACTTCATGACGATAAGCATCATATTGAGTTAAATCGGTTAAGACAAACTGCTTTGAAATTCAGGGATAAGCTTAATGTGAACTTGAAGAAAGTGGGACCTAGTGACAAAGTTGAAAGTCTTGCACTTTTGATTGAAAGTATCCTTTTGATGTCATATGATGATCATGATGATTTACTTGAAGCTCTTGACTTACTGTTGGTAAGTAACAAATTTCTATTACACCCCTATCTTCTTAGCTACTTCTGATCACCACCATACTTCGGTACGCTGATCCTTCTGTATGATCTTGACTCATCATCATAGCGGCTCGAGCCACATTGTCAAGAATTTTTGAGTAAAGACCTCAAGAAACCTAACGGATTGGATTCATCAACTATGGAAGTTTTGATTGAAACCTTACTATTTTTCTTATCTTGGCCGATTGCTTTTATTCGAAATGTGGTAGAGCAAGTGTTTTCGAACTTTACAGATTGTATCAATGTTTCCAGTCTACAACTTTTGATCGATGTAAGCTTTTCTTCTTGTGATCTGTTTTGTTCGTATACTGACCTTATTCTTCTACATTTGATTCGCTTTAGCAAATGATCCCTTCTAACAGTGCTTTGGAAGACGATGACGATGAAGAGGAGGTTTTATCTGATGATGAACCAGAGGAGAAAGGATCAGACGATGACACTGAAGAATCATCGTCTGGTGACGACGATGATGATAGCGATAGTATCTCAGGGAGCTCTCTTGGATCTATTGATGAAGCCTTCCGAGATGAAGTGGCCACTGCTTTGGCGAATGCATTGGCAAAAGATCAAGAAGAAGAAGAAGATTCGGATGCTAGCTCAGAACCTGTGGACGATGATGAAATGTTGGCGTTAGATGCCAATCTGGCTGCTCTGTTCCAAAGGCGTACTGGTGCAGCCACATCCAAAGGTTAGTCGCTTTAAAACCTAGCATGTCATTTAGGTAGCTCCTTTCCACAACACATTGGCAGCCTTGTGTCTGTTTCACATTCGATCTCTTTCTAACCATCTGTTCCTTCTTCTAATTGCTTCACGACAGTTCAAAACACGCAAGATTTACATTTACGTCTCAAATTGTCTGAGTTATTTTCAAGATTTGTTAAATCAAAACCTGATCCATTACTCACCGCTCGATTAATCACGCCGATGTTAAATTTAATTCGAAAACCTACAAGTGGAGAAGAAGAATTGAAAAAGAAAGTGTTTAAGATCTTAACTGAAATCTTAAGACAACCTATCACGAAGCTTGATGAAGAACAAAAGAAAGCTCAACTTTTATCACCAGAAGAATGGTTTAAGATTTTCAAGAAAACTTTTATGATTGCCCAAAGTGTTGAAGCATCAGATCTATCCAAATTCTGTAATCAAGCAATCCTTTGGTTAATTAATCTTGGAAATTTACATTTATTTAAATTTAATTTAATTGAAACTTCGCATCCAAGTTCAATTGAATTTCAAAAACTTTATCAATCATCATTAAAAGAATTTTGTTGTAAAAAGAATACAAAATTACAACCGAAATTCTTTTTAGGATATTTTAATAAATTTTCATTAATTGCTTGGAATTTAAAACAAGATTTATTGGAATCGTTGGTTTCTATTGATACTGTAAATGCTTATCGTAGGATTCAAATTCTTAATTTGTTACAAAGTTTGATGATGGCTTATGCTGCTGAAGTGAGTGAATTTCGAGCAAAAAAAACTGATAGGGGTTTACGAAATGACCATGAACTGATTTTACCTTTTTTTTCGTTTTGATTACTCAACAGTCTGCACCAAATTGTGATAGTGATCTTTTGAATTTTATGCCAAGTGTTCGAACTCGTTTACTTTCTGTTCTGAAACAAGGTATAAGTTCTTCAGGTGTAGATGGGCCAAACAAATCGATTGAAAAGAATATGAATACAGCCAAGATCAAAGAAGTATTGAAAGTTTTGACTACTTTGGTTAAATTGACGATTAAATTATCGAAAGGTCAAGAAGAAGTGATTAAGAAGGTTTGGCCAAAAGTTGAAATTGAAGAGATTTTTGAATTGATTAAGTTTAGGAATGATTTAGAAGATTCAAAAGTATTGAAGAAATCATTTTTAAAGGTTTTAAATTGTTTGAGTTTTGAAGGTGATGTAGATCGTACGAAAATTGAAGAAAATCCAAAGAAGATCAAGAAATCAAAAAAAGAAAAGAAAACAGAGGTTGAAGGAGAGGTTGAAATGAAAGAAGCAGAAGCAGAAGAAAGAGAAGGAGAAGGAAATGGATTGGTTAAAAGGAAAGTAGAAAAAGTTGAAGATGGAAATGAGGATCTAGAACATGAAGGAAAAGATAGAAAATCAAAAAAGAAAAAGATTAACAAGAAATCAAAACAATAGTTTTTTCTTTCTTTTCTAAGTTAGTTGATTGTGGTAGGATAATTATAGACAAAGCAATCCATGAAAGTTTATGTAATTAATCAATCATATATATTGAAAAATCATTTGACGGTGATTCTTTTTTCAAAAAAAACTATCTATTGTGGGTTTCATACTTATTCCTTTGGGTTTTATTCTTGAAAGATATTGAAGCAAGTTGGTCTGTTTACATGAGTATAAATGCACAATGAAGTTTTTTTTGTGAAACAATCAGTTTAGATCCAGTTGGAGTGCAACTATTGATGATGATGATGATTCACCAAATGATCTCCTTGGAACAAAAAATTCAATCAAATTATAGATGTTTATATGTATTGTTAGACACTTCAGCTTGGGATCCAACCTGATCCAACTATAATCGAGCTTACTATGTACCACGTTTTCAAATACAACAATGTGCGTTTGGATTAATAAGTTGTACAATATAGTGAATGATTGCTTTTTACAGAGAATTCATTTCCACTGTATGAACTTGATCAAATGAAGTTCAGCTAAAGAAAACTTAGATTTTGTCTCGCAGTTACTCTATTTGTGACGAGGAATTCAGGAAAGGTTGGATTATCAAGGGGTTCCTTTCAAGGTAATGCCCTCACGTAATGCTCTGCAGATCGAGCCTGTCACGTGAAAATGACTACCAGACACTGAGGCCTCAAAAGTTGTGAATTCTTTCAGGGGTGACTAGGCAAATTGTCAAGCTCAGTTAGTGCTCACTTCAAGTAATCTAGTAAGCACTATGTATCTCAATTACATTACAACCCACTGCCAAGCCTTGTGAGTCTGCTGGTAGTTACATCCAGTCTTAGGACAATCATCTCCAGTATCACGCTCCAACTTCAGGGAAAAAATCCAATGGGTTTGGATGACTATTTCGTAGGTCAACGTCACAAACCGTAGAGAAATCCAATAAACATACACTGGTGGAGAAGAATTGAGATGAGAAACAGATAGCTGATATCCGGAAAATCCAAGGAAAGGTTGATGAGACAAGATGTGGTTGATCTGTCATACGATTCCTAACGGTATGGTATGAAGTGATTCTTGGGCCCAAGCTCATACTACAACCAATAATGATATCTATGGTTCTAAAGCTTGTCAGAAGAGGTCATCCGGGAGGTCTTCTGGATGGTCATCATCAGCTTCCTCGAAAGGATCATAGTCATTCCCTGCACCTGCTTCGTGACCACGCTGTTTATCTGCGCTTTGAGTGTTTCGAGTTGAGGTTGGTCGTTCACGTTCTTCACGGTGGTTATTCTAGAGATATAGCATCAGATGGAGATCAAATAAAGAACACAACAAAAGTGTCAGTCGAATCGTGAATAGCCTCGATGAGTTTCTAAACAAACTGAAGAATTGGTCTTACGGTAGTGCGGTGTGCAGAAGAGCTAGCGTTCGCTTGAGGCCTGTTGGCTTGTTCAGTTGCATCGATCCATAGTGAGTACACATCAATCGGTTCGGTGAGATCTAAAAGAAAAGGGTTGTTTAAGACAAGGTCAGCAGTTGTGAAGGATGATGTTGTTGAGGAACAAGACCAACGATCAATCTTTGTCTCGAACCATTGAGCGCACCGTGAGCACTCGATACGCGAAACCATCTCTTGTCGATCTCTGAGACATTCAAAACAGATTAAGGAAAGAGATCAGTAAAAGGAGATTCAGACCATCGCCCGATAAAGTCGAGTAGGAGTCGAGAATGCCAAACTAACAATTTGCAATGTACAGCGCCAGCTTGTTGACAGAACAAGCATCGGAAGATCTTATCGAGAGGTTGAAGCTTGGCTTTCTTTCCCGGCTTTATATCAAATCAAAGGTAACAAAATCATCATCAACGATTGTAAAAGTCAAAAAGAAGAGACGATAAACGAAGCTTAGCTTACTTTCTTGGCAGCTTTACGCTTACCCATTGATCAGATTTTTAAGATTTGATAGGTAGGTGAAACTTAGAGAAAGTCAATTGATTTTGAAGTTGGTATTTTTAGTTTGATGATGATGTTGGTTTGATGAAGAGGGTAGGGAACGAAAGGAACTTGAGCCCCTTGAGTCATCTTGAAGTGAAAGTTTGATCCTTTTACTGTTCAAAATGTAGACTGCAAAGCAGGGTAGACCATGTTAAACCATATTACATTTATCATGGGATATGACAGGGGCTCACGCTCACACCCGGGGCCCCGAAGCCACGAGGCGCCCTGGAGGGGCACATGGCCGTGGCCAGGGCTTAGGCCACGCGTGGCCCTCACCACAAGCCCTTCATGACCTTCATAGTGCATGAAGTTCAGCTTAATTCCCCTTCAAAGAGTGCCTTAAGCAGGGAGTAGCACCTGAAGATGAGTTGGGCTATGATCAAAAGTTGTTTCAAGGGCAGGCCACACAGGGCTGGGCAGGGCTGGGCCACGGCCCTGGCCACAGCCCTGGCCACAAAAAAGGTGCCGGGTGTGAGCGTGAACAGGGGCATACTGCTTCGTGGGTCTCAAGTTATGGGCGCGTGGTTTCAAATCTCTGACGCACCGGTGCAGCAGTTTCATCAGGACTCAGGTGGGGGGCAAAAGTTGGGATGCGCCGCCCAGAGGTGCGTGCAAACTGTGGGTCACACCCATCACACCCTGGAGGTCAAGAATGGGGGGGTGAGAGAGAAGGTATAAAGGCTTACCTGGATCCCATTCTTGGGACCAGATGAGCCAAGTTGGCTATGAATGTAGACAAGCAGCCAAATGGACGCTCAACATCCAAGATTGACTGTCACTTTTGTTGACTGTGTTGGAAGTTAAAGCAAGCAACAGATACCTTAACTCATTAGATACTTATGAGGTGGATTGATTCTGATAGAGTCAATATATATTGGGCACATGAGTTGCTGAGGCTTTGTGTTGAGGACTTTGGGGTAAATCAGAGGGAAGATCTAGTTCAGACTGGCGTCAAGCAAACTGTTTGTTGTAGTATTCAGTTATGTGGATAGTTATTGCATGATCATTTCCAAGGGTACAATCAAAGAAGCGTAATCAAAGGTAAGGATAAAAAATCACAGCCATGAGAAGAATATCACATTCAAGGGCTTCTTCATAGTATACTTTGGTTTGTTCAATACAAGCCTGCAAAAAAGGTTGCATGTGATTGTCATGTGGAATAGCAGCAGATTGCACTTTCAGATTAAATAAATGTAAATTTGTAAACCCCCCCCTTCTCACGCCTCATCCAACAGTCAAGCATGATCAACCACTGATGATTCATGTGACTGGCACCTGTCAACCTGTGCAAGATTTTACATACATGTTCACATACACTGCTGAGAATTCATATGAATATCTTTTACAAGCATAGATCAAATGTCAAAAAAAAATGGGAGCTCAAGATCCTGTGCACTGTGACAAACTTCACTTAGTCCCTAGCCTTGGGCCTTTGGTGAGGGAATTAGTTAAGGTGGGCACTGTGGTGGCTTCTTTTGGGTCTGAATACATACAGCCAAACAAGCTCAAATGAAGACGCTCAATTGCCCAACCTCAAACTTCTTACATGGGTATATCAAAATAAATGTTTTATGGGTATAGAAAATCACTCTACCCATAGTTTGCTATACCCCTGGGAAAAGATGTCATTTGAGGTAGTGTTTGCTGTCTTAGGTTTCTGAAAGGTGTTACAGACTCCTCCTAGTATTCCTAGGCTTCATTGCAATGATTGTACCGGTTGCACAAGGGAGTCAACCAAATCCTCAACCCAAGAACAATACACCTTACTGCCAAAATGCTGTGGGGGTGATAAATCCACCATGTAGTGATAAGAGTGGTAAGCTGACATGTCCAGGCCAGTGGCTGGTACCAAAGTGTTCCAAAGCAAAACTGCTCAAATGTCCTAACAGTCACAATACCTCTGTACGCTATGATGACAGTAAATGATAACAGTGAAGATCACTCACAAAATATTTCCTCATACTAGTGCCTATGTGCGCGCAAACTTCAAGACTCTCAGCCTCCTCTCACTACCTCAAAAGTAATCTTTTCCATGCAGAAAAGAAAAGTACGGACATGTTTTCCTAGAGAAAACTCCCAACAGGACAAAAAAAATGGTAAAAATGAGCAGCAAAGTGCCTTAGCTCTCTACTTGACCATTTGTGCTCCTACAATTTTTTTATGTTTTTCAGTGAAACAGCTCTTTGTTGTACTAATGAAACATGTTTTTAGGCTCCAGAGTGTGACCTGTAAGAACCATGGCGGGGCAGGTCAGAAACTCAAATTTTGCCCAAAACCACCATATAATAGGGTTTTGGACAAGATTTAAGTTATCTGAACTGACCTAAGGCCAGGGATTTACAGGTCACAATCTGGAGGCAACAACATTGTTTCATTATTACACACAAGGGTTATTGTAACAAAAATTATGAAAAAATCACAGGAACAGAAGGAATCAAGTAGAAATATGATGAATTTCTTCCAATATTTCTATCATTTTTTTTTACTTGTTAGGAGTTTTCTACATGCAAATTTGACTTCATTTTTCTTTTTTGCATGGAAAATACTACTTTTCTGGAGTGTCTTTGTTTCATTCTGCTTCATTTCATGCTCTGGCTGTCTCTCTTACATTCACAGTGCCCGTGGAGAAGGCCCCCGACGTCGGGGGCCCAAAGATCTTGCGCAAAAGCATCAAAAAAACTGTGAAATTTCTGTCCGGCCCAAATTGGTACGCTGAGCCTGCCCAGTTTGCCCCATCCCCAGCAGCCAGACTCAGGCGTTGACCTCAGGTGCACTGAGCCATCGTCCAACTTCATCAACAGTGATGAGCTAGGATGAGCTGAGATGAGCCGGGATGAGCGGTCCTGCCCTGATTGTATGAACCCATGGGGGATCCGTCAAATCAAACTGGAAAACAAACCGATTTAAATCTGAAGAATTCGAATCAACCAAGTTCAAAAAACAAAATCGAGATCAAATCATGGAATCAAAAGTAAATTTAATCAATCAACATTGGTAGAAACCATTCAAGAAGGTTTGATTGCGACATGGTCTCGAATCAAATCAAAGCTTAAAGAGCTCATTACATAAATAGAAACTTGAAGGATCGACAAAATGAAAAGTTTTTGAGACTTTGATTGATACAGGTTCAACCAGCGAGGATTGAGAAGTTTAGATGTTAGGATCCAGGTGTCAGCAATTGGCCTGTGAGTATGATTTGTGATCTTGCGTCTCTCAAGCCCTCCACCGGCACGCTGATCCTACCCAATGCCTATGTTAAGCCAAACAGCTGTCACTGACAACACAGTGAATGCGAATATTGAAAGCATATTGTCACAAATACAATGACACCAATCTTTCTTGTTTTCTTTCCGGCATCTAGAATAATCCTTGTTGGTTCGTTTTCCTTTAGTCCACATTGTTGAGCAGCTTATCGTTACCGAGAGTCAAAATCTTCACTAACGCTATATCTTTCCTTTGATTGCCGCACAATAAACATAATTTTGCAATTTCAGAACATCATCAACAACAACAACATCATCGTCATCCACACCAACATCATCATCCACATTATGAACCATACCTATCACCCTTTGTTACATCGGCCACACCTTATCATCCATCACCTTTAGAATCATCACAAGAACATCATAGTCATGAGATCTGGCCACCGCATCAAACAAGATATAACCGGTCCAAATAATGAATAGATTCCATCTTATCATCAAAGTCTAGCTGTGGATATGTGCGCACTGGTCTTGATGAACCCATCTCTCTTAGCTTAACACAAGCCCGCATACATAAATCAATCTCTTTAAATCTTCATTTAATCAAGCCTCATACTTTTAGTTCAGTTTTAACTGTTTACCCTTTTGATTCCCAAGCAGAGGATGAAAAATTAAATCAAGACTCTGGACCAGATCGTCTACTTTCCAAAGCTATCTTTGATCAAACAACGATGATGAAGTCAAACTATGAAAAGGTCAAAACCTGGAAAGATTTTGGTATGTCAAATATTCAATCATGGTTTTGTTTGGGCTGGATCTGACATGAGCTTCAATATGTTTGCAGCAAAAGCTCGTATGTGTCTAGACAGAAATTGGAGTTCAGGCAATGGCCATTGGATATCAGCTATGAGTCCAGTTTGGAGATTTACAATTTAATCATGGGTTTAATTATAGGGTAGCCATGTCAGAGTCAGGAAAAGTAGTTAACCAAAATGGCTCGCACTACACTTCGTTTGGTCGTGGGTGCTTGGAATCTATAATCTGTTATACATATCTGAAAGAGAGACTCTTGCAATTGAAATGGCCAAGATCTTGGAGAAGGTTTCGTTTGTCTTGCTATGTCTTCAATTACACTTTGAAATGACTACACCACATCTTTAAGATCAATCTGCATTATCTTCTTTATATGGAAAAATGGGGCATATAAGGTGGTTTTTTCAATCTCGATATCCGCCGTATGTGTAACAGTACTGATTAGATATCTTATGTTATACCGCAATAGGTGTAATTGCTTTTACAAGTGCAGCTCAACAAAAACATTTTGGACAAGTACCAATCCAGAAGCTATATGGCCATCACCATCAGTTGTGTGCAGTTACTTTTGATGAAAACTGTCACTGAAGAGCCCTTTACATATTGATCACAAGATGCTTGAGAAAATATATACAAAGATATCTTGAACTAATGTATTCCAATGATAGATGATCTGAAGCATTTTTTGAATCAGGTCTCAAAGTGAACCAAAAGAAAAAGACTCAAAATTGTTATATATAAAGGACTTTATCTTTTCCCTGGGCAAAATCGAGATCAAAACAATATCCAATACACAAATGATATTATGTAAGAGAAATATAAAAGTAATCACGGTATTTATATTCATCCTTAGACTTGTTAGAGTCACATCTGGTAATGTTTTTTTGTACAAGTGATTTTAGAACATTACTTCACGTATCTTTTTCTCTCTGTTTCTCTCTCTCTCTGTTGGGTAAGCAAAATGATTCATGAGTTTATTTAAAATGACAATTGCAAATAGAAAAAAAAGAGAGAATCAAATGAATGTTAGAAAAGGAAAAAACAGAAAAACAGAAAACAAAAAGAAATATTCAAACAAATCCAAAAAATTGATATTGTATGAATGCAAAGGAGAAAAACAAAATTAGGAAAGAATTAAGACCCAAAGCAGACAAAAGGCATAGTAAAAGTAAAAAGTAAAAAGGAAAAATAAATATTGAGTTTTTGTAGATGTTTTTCTTTCTTCAAAAAATTGCAAAACAAAAGAAGTAAAAAAATGTAAAGAGAACAGAGAAAAAATCCAACAAAAAAGAAAACAAAAAGGGTTTTCTATATACTTTGAACAAAAGGAATTAAGTAAAAAGGGGGATATCTAGACAATGCTGCAAGATTTAGCTCTCAGCAAAAAAAAAGTAAGAGTAAAACACTATGCAAAAAAAAGAAAAGAAAAAAGAAACTCCAGCCGAGAAATCTAGAAATCCATTTCAAAGAAGGAGATTACGTAAAATATCAACGATGAACCGATCTATGAATCCCACCACCTTCGCTAGCGGTTCTAAAACTAATCAGACTCGAAACCAAATCATCAGGTCCATTAATTCCTAAAGAGTTTTGATGATCATCCGAATTGAGGATCCGAAGCTGCAAACCATTCATGATAATGAGGTGAGGAACCCGAGCCCCGATTAGGTAAACAAATCCAACATGATTGGTCTTGATTCGTCGATTCTTCTGTCCATGATCTAGTTCGAGTTCGAATATGTGATGGGGGTGGTGATTCGAATCCAGTATCTAATCTAATCCTTTCTCCAATCCCAGTAGGTAAAGGTGTTGTCATCGGATCGGATGAAGTCGTTCTATTCAAAAGGGTAATCACTTGGATTGTTTCTACTACTGCTGTCATTTTGACACTTTCAGATCTAGATTGAGTCTTCTAATCGGTTGATGTTGTTGTTGTTGTGAATGTTTTCCATTCTTCTTTTTCTGTTTTTCATTATAAAACTTGGCATTCGTTCGATTTTCATATTCTAACTCATGATCTGATCTTAATCTTGCCATAATAATACTATCAGCACCTTTACAGATCAATTTGATTTTTCCATTCGGACATCTAACCAAATGACTCATTTGTTTTCTAGAACTATTGAATTCGATAATCTTCAAAAGTTGATACTTTTGTTTGACGCCCAAGATTTCTAAATATAATTGGTCACCTAATTTCTTCACAAACACAAATCCTAAATCTCTTGCTGCTGCTACTAAGGCTGCTTCACCTGGACTTTCAGCTTTATATTCGATTTTACCTTCACTTTTACCTGCGTTCACATCATGACATAAAGCAAGTGAAGTCCAAAATTCAATCATTCTAATCCGATGTTCTTCTGATTCAAGATCTTCATTGAACATATCTTCCACTAATCCTGGTGAGATCAAGGTAAGACTTTCGGAATTTAAATATCGATGTCGAAAATGTCGATTCATCAAATCAATCATCCTTAGTTCAGATTCAGCTAAATGAGTAGCAGCTAAAGTCGGATCATCTAATGCAGATGGATCATGATCAGCCCCTCTTTTAGCTGCTCCTCTCATCGCATCAGTAACGCCTTCTCCATAAGCAATACCTGAAATCGAACAACGTTGAAATTCCATGACGTTTTGAGTTAAAGTGCCTGTCTAATCACTAAAGATATATTCGATTTGACCTAGATCATCTGAAAGATTTGATGATTTAGGTTCAGCTGGACAATTCGAGGGTTCATAGTACATTTCGATATCTCTGAAAATCGTCAAAGCTTCGATCGTTCGAACAAATTCGAGAGTGATGACCAATGAGATGGGTACAATTGATTGAAACAGAATCAAAGCTGCACTGTGAGATGCTCAAAAAGATCAAATCAATATTCAACTTGAACCAGAAGCCAAAAGAAAAAGAGACGAACCCGAAAGTGACCAATGCATCTAATGTAGCAATCAAAAAGATACTTGCGTTTTGTTCATAATAATAAGGACTAGTCGACGTATTACCTGAATAGATTCCATCTCCAATCGCATTGATAGCACAGAGTAAAACCAAGATGACGAAATTGATGATCACAGCATAATTGGTTTCATCTGAGATTTTGGCTTTCTTGGAAGGAGTATCACCTATGAAAAATTCAGAAAAAATCAGTATCATTTAGAATGTTGAATTCCAAAGAAAAGTCTGCTAACCTTGATCTAACATGATTTTAGTATCTTTACCAGTAAAGACCACTAAACCCATAACCCGTTGAGTATTTCTCAAAGTACAACCTCTCAATAACATCTCATTAACCCCAATCACTTCTCTTTTCTCAGATCCTTTTTCAAGTTTACGTCCTTCAGTTACTGGATGTTCACGTCCTTCACGTTCGTCTTGAGTCCAATACTTTAATGTAGGATTATTGCATACAGATTCGCATTAGGTGGTTCTGAAGCAATTAAGAAATGAGCGTGTTCTAAATCTTCTTCATTTGAGATCAATTTAGTGGATTTAATCGATTTACGTGGTTTCAAATTCGTTTCTCCATCTAAATTCTTCGTTTCTACAAAACATTGTCCATCTGGATCTGAAGATGATAAGATCACTAAATGGCTGGTATTGCTTCATCTTCTCTTAATAAAACTATATCTCCTACTTCTAATTTTTTCCATAGCGTTCTTTCCCATTTAGTTGTTCCTGAGGTGGGGGTTGAATAATCGACGACTTCTGATGATGATTTTCTTCCTCTGGATTGGATTGATGAAGTAGCTTGAGGTGTCATAGGTGGTTCGGATCCAATATTAGAGCCGCATCAAGTACAGATCTACTTGGATTAAAACTACTTTGACCTCCTTGATTTCCATCATCTGAATCTGAATCGTCTTGATCTCCTACTTGATTTTTGTCATTCAATTCTCTTAAAAAATCCGTATTAAAAGTACCTTTTTCCCTTTCCCGTAACTTTCGAACTCCTTTAGTCACCTTACTACGATATTGACTTGATGAATCGGCATGTTGATCTACATCATGTGCTTCCCATGGCCAATCTAAATTCTCCCACCATGATCCTCCACCTGATCTACGTACATTAACATTTCGCCAATCTCCTAATCTTGTACACGGTGAATTATTCACACTGTTATCTAACATATATCTTTGATAATCTTCAAAACAATCATTGGCTCCTGTTACACATAAAATGAATAGTAATGGTAACATTGCCACTTGTGGTGTTGCGGCTCCAAAGAAGGGGAAGTTTTGAAAGATGACTAAGACTAGGAAAAAGATGACGTTTCGGAATTGTTCAAAGAGATCCTGTAAAGAACATTGAAATTGAAAGAAATATTAGTTTAATTGAAAAATTAGTTTAGAGATTGAAAGAATGACACACCTTCGGTAAGATTGAAATGATTGTATATTTAGTAGTTCTGACTTTATTTCTAACGTATTTAGCTAATGGATCACCATTTTGATCGATTTGACCAGTAGGTAAGACCAATACACATACATAAATTGATCTTCTTTGATTCAAGAATAAAGGACCAGTACCATTCTTGGAGTGTCTCTTGAAATTTTTCTTTTTAAAATCAGTTGCAGGCGAATCTTCTAATTCTTTTAAATTTTGAGTATGTTCATCTTCACCTGAATCAGTAGCTAATGGAGAAGGTGGATCTAAATCAGGTACAATAGGTGATGGAGGTAATTTAGATTCTAAAAACGATTTTCAAGATGTATAATTCGAATTCGCAGTGGGAGGTCTAGATCTTCTTTGAAATCGTTTATGAATTTTGTATGTACTTACTGCATCTGCACAAAAGCTTGTAATTTTTTTTTTTTTTTTTTTTGGAAAAGCGCAAATGTGGCCCCGAAATAAATTTTACCCAAAATCGGGTGAGTGATCCAACACCCCATCCAGCGCTTCGATGGTTTTGAGCCGATTGTCAGCTCAAAACCATCCACTCATCCAATCTCGTTCGACTTTCTTAACTCTATTATGCCACAAGAAATCGACCTCGAGCGTGAATCGACTGCAAGCAGCAACGACCTCCCCGAATTTGAAATCGGGGATGTCAGTTCTTTTCCTTTTTTTTCAATTGTTTTCCTTTCTTTCTAATTGTTCTCTTTCTTCAATTGCAGTATTTACTGACAACTTTGTTATCATCCTTTCTTTTCTAGTTTACAAGACCACTACCTGCACCAATCAAACGTGCACGTGCTTTCGTATGCCATCTCGACTACCTCCTGTACTTCAACCACGGAGGGAAGAATCCAAAGTGGAAATCACATCGATCGAAAAACGGGAGTATTCCGATCCAAATCTCGCCCGATATGGATCTGACCGCCTTTGAAGTCCAAGTGGCCAAAAGCTGTAGCACCTCAGATATACAACACCTCGGAAAAATGATCACCGAAGACCGCCGTGCCCAGGCTCTTGGAATCGAGTGGTTTTGTTACATTCCATCTGTCCACAATTATCTCAAGAATGATAAGACTTTACTCAACACATCCAAGACATTCAATTCGTGGTGCGACACTGCCCTCAAGAATCCCAAGAAGAAACCTGTCGTGTCTCTAGTCATGCCGAAGCCTGAGGATCCTGTGGACATTGCGCAAAAGGTACGTTTTTTTACCATGCTCATATTTAATCTATTTTACTGATATCTTTCATTCTGTTTGAAACCCTTTTTCTTTGTACAATTAGAATGCAGCGCTTGCGAAGACTCTCCGTGGAATACCAGCCGCTATTGATGCAACTGGTGCAGACGATCATCCCGGTGTGAGTTTATCCACACTGTGATCCTTTAAAAACTCAAGCTTACCATTTGCTATGTGTGGTTCCAGAACATGAGCGATGTTAGTGATGTTGATCAGTACGAGGTTGAGTTGGGTAGGTTGAACACGGTTGGCAATGTAGATGCCTCGATCGATCGACACATCCGCACGTACCAGCTACCAAATGACAACGATGTCTATGTTTTAATGACTGCTGGGAACCGTGAGAAGTGGGAAAGAGCACTTGTGAGTACAATAATATTCAATTCTGGACTAGTTTTTTCAGCTAACTTTCTCGATCTTCCAAGGTTGACACAACCATTCATGGTGTGTCTTTGACCAGCCCACCATCTTCCATACGAGAAAGCAAGCGCGCACTCAACGTGAAAAGACGTCGAGTTGGTGTCTCCGGGACTTTTGAACCCCAGCAGACTACTAGTACTGTGCAAGGTACTAGTACAGTGCAAGTCGTTCGTGGTTCAGCTACGATGTCTGAATACCTCAACTTCATCAAAATCAAAGATTCTGATTGTATTTTGGGGATTTTGACCAGCAAGAAGATCAAAGACTATCATAATTTTTCAGGTGGAATCACTAAGGAGGAATTGAAAGATTTAGGGTTTGAAATTGGCGAGATAAGAGATCTATTGGACAATGTGATTAGATTTGATGAACACCTTTCAATGGATGCTCATTAGGTGTCTCGACAAGTTTTATAACATTTTCTTTGTGATTCTCTTAAAATGTAGCAGAAGATTTTGTGATAGTTTATTAGTGATACTCCTAAAATATAGCAAGAAATGTACTCTTTTATCTGCAATCCTCTTAAAATCAAACCTGTAGCAGCGGCAGAATTGAAAATATGATTTTATTGATTTTAACACAATGCTTTTGAATTCGATTGAGGAGTTCAAAAGTTAGTTTTTGATCACCTCTGACTTGAACTTCCATCAGATCAATCGATTGACTTGAAATCCAATCAGAGGTGATCAATTTCAAGTTAAGGAGAGAGTTTCTGGACTGAAGACACATGCTATGTTCAACTGTGAAACAATGAATAAATTTACAGTTTATATTCTCCTTAGCATGATATCTGACACCTTATCATAAATTCATTTAATGTAAGATACAAAAAGAGAGATACACATTGAGAAAACAATAAGAATTGATAGAGATGATTCTAATACTCTTCATACATGTCCTCTGGTAAGCAATACCCAGAAGCTTTGTATTTGGCCACTAGAAGCTCGGGTGTGACAAATTCCAATACAGTATCTCGAATCGGCCAAGTCGCATCACTGCCCGACTTCTCCAATATCTCACTTCTCTTGAAGTGGGCTTTGATTACCGAGAAGCACATCTCGATCGGATTCAACTCGGGGGAATAGGCTGGTAAATATACTAATCTGACACCTTCAAAAGGAAAGGTATCAAAGTCAGTGTCATGATGTATTGATGATTGAGAGTAAACAAGCTTACCAGCAATTTCACAAAGTTCTTCAACACGACCTCCCTTATGAATTGGACAGTTGTCCATGACCAAGATTGAATTTTCAGCTGGATAAGGATTCATCAAGGGAAGCTGTATTGTTTATTTGTGGATTAGTGAAATGATCGACTGAAACAATGATAAGAAAAGAAACTCACCAGCTGAAATTCCAAAAAGTTTTCAAATCGGCTGCGGTCGATGCTGCCTTCACGGACAGACATGGTTATCAACCCATGTAGTCCAATCGCAGGAAGCAGTGAATATCGTTTCGGGTTTGAACATTTGACCCAGCACGTGACACGTTGACCCTTTGGCGACCGTCCGTTGACTCTCATCAAATCCCGCTCACAGATAGCACTCTCATCTGACAGGATCAGAGAAGAATAGAATTGAAAGGGATCAGATAAAATCAAAATGAAAAGATAGAAAAAGAAGTTCAAAACAATGTGTTACTCACTGGTGAATACAAGGTATTCAGCTGGGACGTTCTTCATGTCATCGATAAATTTCGCAGTCTTGTAGAAATCTTTGCAAACGTTTGAGGTCTTGGCCTTCTTGAGAGTCAGGTACAGGCGAGTGTTGAGCTCGAGTGAAAGTTCTTCACAAGATGCCAAGACGCCGGTTTCATCGTAGATCGCCTCCCGGATCTTGTCCAAGAAAAGAGAAGGCTGAGTTGCTACGAGTTCTCTGATGAAGTCGCGATCTTCATCATTGAATATGAGAGGTGCGCCTCGTTTCTTGTACTCTAATGGATTCCTGATAACTGATTGGGTTTGTTGATAAAGTGCCATCCATCGGTGGAAAGTGGCTTTGCAAATGTTCTCGCCAAGCATATCTCGGATTTCGTCAGTTGAAAAGCCTTCAAGGCATTTGGTAACGGCCAAAGCCTTGATTGTGGCCGAGTATTTGACAAAGGGCATATGATGTTGGGTAGTTGAGTGAAAGATCAAGTTGTGAAGAGTGGTGGTGGTGGTGGTGGTGAGATCGATCGAGGTTTGGTGGTGGATGAGTGGATGTGAGCTGAAACCCATCGAAGCGCTGGATGGGGTTTGGATCAGTCCCCATCCAGCTGATCCGGCCTCGGGTATTTCTCGGATCGGGGCCAAATTTGCGCTTTTCCAAAAAAAAAAAAAAAAAAATTACAAGCTTTTGTGCAGATGCAGTATGTACACTTACATATGTGCATAGGAGGAGTTATCCAACGGTTGACCACTCATCTGATCTGACAGGATCTGACCCTGCAGGCGTGTCCGGACGTGTGAGCTGGCTCTCCAATGTGGAACGGGCAATGGTCACCAGCTTTTCTCGGGGCAAGGATAGTTCATGGGGAGCTTCCAGGTGTTCAGTTAGGAACACTGAGCGTTCAGTAGGGGAAAATGAGCGTTCAGGCCTGCTCATCTCCTAGTCTGCCTGAGGCTTGACTCAGACGGATGAAGTTCAGCATAAGGAATATTCTTCCAATTTTTCCCCTTTGTGGATAATTGTACGCTTTGGGGCCACAAAAATCACACAAATGCGACAAAATTGCCAAGATCTTTGGGCCCCCGACGTCGGGGGCCTTCTCCACGGGCACTGTGATTGTTTCTCACTTATCTTTCTTCTTGGGTGGGAGTGACATGTTCAATTTCATTTATCATTGCTGTGATTGACTATAACTTCCTTATTGCTGAACATTTGTCACTGATTGTCTCCTTATCATGTTCCTGATCATGTTGCGCCACTTATTGCATAAATCACCTTTATGCCTTTGGAGAATCTCTAATACTGAGGTTTGGTATTTGAAATGCCTAATTTTTATCTGGATTTGCAAATTCAGTGACTGGTGTGGGGACTATTACACTGTCTTGTTGCCAGAACCTTGGTGAGAGGTGATTAGCAACTGTCAATAATGTTGAATAAAGACTGTTTGGGCTTAAGCCGTGGAGGTCAAAACAAGGATTATAATTTTGTCTTTGAATGTGTTTTCCTGTTCAAAATGAAAGTAGGGAGTAAGCTGTATGTCATTGTTGAAAAACAATTGTAAAAAATGTGAATATGTTTTTTAAATTTGTTATTCTTAAAGTAAATGATTATACACAATGATAAGGGAGGTGAAATTTGAGTTTGAGTTCTTTTGTTCTTTGATTTTTTTTCTTCTAGAAAAAGAACTTGTTGTGAGAGGTGAGACCCCCAAATTTCAGCATAGGTCTTCAAACAAGTAGAAGTTTGAGAGAAGCTGAGTTGGTTAAGTGCCTGCAAAATGTATATCTAAAGCTTCTGTATCTGAATTGAGCTAAGATTCATTTTTTGA